GACCCGGCGGTCCGCCCCTGGCCCCGCCCCCTGGCCCGGCGGCGCAGGCCAAGGCCCCCAGCCCTTCGGAGCTCGCTGCACGCGCTCCGTGGGCGGTCCCTCCGCCTCCCTCCCGAGGGGGCAGGCCACTTCTCTCCCCCCACTCCCCCCAGCATCCTGGGCTCACCAAGTCCTGTCTACACCAGCCCCGATCTGGTTCATTGGATTGAATTTGGCCTTAATGAATCTGACCAATGAAAGCACAACTGGACATTTTCCCCCTTCCCGCCCCCGTTTCAGCCTCCTATTAATTTGTGTCAAAATGCAGACACTTAAGGGCCCCCCTCTTTGTGCATCTCTAACGTAACTGCAGCCGGTTCCCACGCAGGGCTGTGGGGTGCGTCCTGGGAGGCCGCGGGCTCCGCTAAGGACACCTGGCTGGGGCCAGGCCCGGAGGGGACTGGAGAGGCAGGGAGCCCCGCAGGCAGATCTCAGCACAGCACAGTGCTGGGCCTGAAGCGCATCGAAGGGATGTCGTGGGAGGTGGCGCGGGACTTTTAAAGACATTGTATTGGTCTTGCTTTTTAAATGATCAGTTACAAGAATGAAGTTTTTTTTTTTTAAAAATCATAGTTCTCCCAACTGTATGCTTGAGAAAGGTGGTTAATTTGTTTGTTATCTTTTTTCCTATCAGAATAGAAGTGCGAAATCACCCAATACAGCTGCTAAGGACTCCCCTTGACGAGGAAAAGGGGGGATGCCTCCATCACCTTGACCGTTGTCTCCCGCCCGTGCTGGAACCTGGCTAACGCCTCGCGGCCCAGCCCGGGAGCAGACACCAGACTGGACATTGTACTTGACCAGGCTCTCTTCTCCCTCCAGGAGACACTAACCACGCTTTAATTCCCATCAATGAAAGGCTTCTCTCCCACAATAACCAAACAGAACATGGCAACCGTAGCCAATAGTAGTTGAGTACTTATTATTTGCTAAGGCACTGCTAAACCCTTTACATATATTATCTTGTATGTATGTATGTATGTATGTATTTATTTAAATTTTTTAATCCTCACCTGAGGACATTTTTCCATTTATCTTCAGATAGAGTGGGAGGGAGAGAGAGAGAGAAACATCGAGGTGAAAGGGACACATCGAGTGGCTGCCTCTCTGCACGACCCAACCGGGGCCGGGGACAAACTGCAACTGAGGTACGTGCCCTTAGCGGGAACCGAACCCGGGACTCTCTGGTCTGTGGGCTTACGCTCTAACCGCTGAGCCAAACCGGCCAGGGCCGTGCTATTTTGTTTTTAATCCTCAGTGTCCCAGTCAATAGCTGTGGTGAAATACAGAGCACGATACAGAACCAAATGTTCCTCAGACTCCTGTTCCACATCCAACAAAGGCAGTTCTCCGGTGAACTTCACACTTAACACAGCATCTCCTTAAAAAGGGGGCAACAACCCCTCAGTCTAGACCACCTGCCATAGTGACTTACTATGAGCAACCAACTCCTGGACTGTTTGTGACTGGTTAATCGGGGTCAGTGGACTTTGCAGGCTGGCTGCCTGTTTTTGTAAATAAGACGCCACTGGAGGGAAGAAAAGAATCTATCAGTGTGCTAGGCACTGTGCTCAACACTTGCTGGGATCCTAGAGCACTTGGCTACAGCATCTCTAATGAATTCTAGTCTGATCTGCTTGTAGGTAAGATTTTGAGCTACTGCAGGGCAAGGACCACTGTCTTATTCGGTTCTGTACCCTCAGTGCCTGGCAGGGTGCCTGGCGCATAGCAATGATCAAAATGCGTGTGAAATGAAGGGTGGAGAAGTGAGTCAATAATCCCCCGTAAGTGTGACACGTCAACATTTGGCTTGGTTTTGTGAACGAGCGTTCATTCCTGGGAGCACAAGGACACAGCTTCCTCGCTCTTGGTTTGTCCATGTTCCTCTTGCAACATCTCTCGCAACATCTTCAGGGAGAGCTGGCTCTGTTACTGATGGGCTGAGACTCTCCGTATCATCAGAGTCAGGTGCCACTGTGGTGCATCTCCAGGGCTGTTGAATGGTTTCCCCAGGGTAATATAAAAGCAAAGCATTTGTGATATGAATTAGACCTTGTTTCCAGAAAAATCCAAGGAGATACAGCAGAGTTGACACCATTGCTTATTAAAATGATGCTGCAACCTCCACACTGCCTCATGGGCACGTGAGGCCCAGCCTTTGTCCAGCTTCATCTTGCACCATCCTGGTCCATCAGGTCCCAAAGTATGTCATACTCCTTCTACCCCAGGGCCTTTGAGCATACCGTCTGGAATGCTCTTCCTCTTCTGTTTGCCCACTCATCTTTAATCTCTTAGTTCAGGTGTTACCTCCTCAGAGAAGCCTTCCTTGAACCCTGTGCCCTTGCCCTATACCCTGGTTACATGCTGCTGTCATGCTCAAAGCTTTATTTCATAACACTTACCAGTTCTCCATGAATCTCATTAAGGTCTGTTCCCTCACTAGACTGTAAACAAACATTGAGTCTACTTTACTCACTGTTGTATCTCTTCTAGAGACCAGCAAAACAGTACTTACTGTGTGCTCAGATCATCTTTTTTGTTTTTTAATCCTCACCCGAGGATATTTTTCTATTTATCTTCAGATAGAGTGGGAGGGAGGGAGGGAGGGAGAAGGAGAGGGGGAGAGAAACATCAATGTAAGAGGGACACATCAACTGGTTGCCTCCCACACGACCCCAACCAGGGCCAAGGACAAACTGAAACCGAGGTACGTGCCCTTGACCGGAATCGAACCTGTGACTCATTGGTCCGTGGGCCAATGCTCTAACCGCTGAGCAACTGGCCAGGGCTCAAATCATTTCCGTTTTTTGTTAGATCTCCAAAGCATATGTTTTGTTGAGAACCCAGAAATCATCCTTATAGGACTAATAAATGTGCCCTCTTCATTTGATAAACCCCTCAAAGACCATCCTGGTTTTTAGCCTACCTTGTCAGCTGTGGTCCTGATTAGTATGTCTGTTTTTTCTTTTTTTTAATTTATTTTCTTTATTGATTTGAGAGAGATAGGGAGAGGGAGAAGTAGAAACATCCATTAGAGAGAACATCAATTGACCGCCTCCTGCATGCCCCCCTCTGGGGATCAGACCCACAACCTGGGCATGTGCCCTGACTAGGAATTGAACTAGTGACCTCTTGGTGGAGGGTTGACACTCAACCACTGCCGGGCTGTTTGCTTTCTTAATCCTATCTTGTCACTCTGTTCTCTATCCCTTATGGCGTGGTTGCTAAGGTTATTGTTTAAGGCCTAGAACGATGAACCTTCCTGAAACGGACAGTAACAAAATCGATCTCAAATGGCTTGAGAGAAACTAAGGTGCACGTCTTCGAAACCACCAAGTTGCTACAGGTGTCTCAACGGAGCGGGGAAAAGCTTCAGGCCAAGGCACCGAGTGAAAGGGCAGGATGGAGTAGCCACGGCATCGTGAGGTTTCAGACTTCGGCCGAGTTCCTGCAGTGATCCAGCCTCTCCCCGCAGAGCCTCTCAATGCCGTGCATTCTGTTAGCTCTTTTTAGGTCAAACTGTTTTGAGTGTTTCTGTATTATTTTGATTCAGAATTTCTTTCCTTTGGGGTATTTCCATTTGTTGAAAAGATCTGTTCACACAAATTCTATAAGTACCCTTTATCAATCTCTTCTGGTGGCTGGACACTAACAAATTATAGCACAATTTAGTTGCTTCCTCTTAAGATAAAGGATATAAATGATGCAAAATATAAATGTTAAAATCTGGTTTTATCCTGCAACTATTTCAAACATACTGAGGCTGCTTCTAACAGAAATTGCTCACATTTAAATAACCTGAGCCCTGGCCGGTTTGGCTCAGCAGTTACAGCGTCGGCCCACAGACCAGAGTCCCAGGTTCGGTTCCTGCTAAGGGCACGTACCTCGGTTGCAGTTTGTCCCTGGCCCCGGTTGGGGTTGTGTGGGTGGCAACCAGTCGATGTCTCGCTCACATTGATGTTTCTCTCTCTCTCTCTTCCTGCCTCTCCCCCTCCCGCTCTATATGAAGATAAAATGCAAAAAATAAATAAATAACCTTAGCCACAAAAAGAAAGACAACAACCCATGTGTCTTTGCTGCTTTCTCCTAAAGTACCCCATGAGACTTGCAACCAGGGGGGCAGCGGGCAGCGGCAGTGCATCCCAGACTCACCCTGAACCATCCAAGGGCCCTCCTTTGCCTCGGTAACTTGTCCATGCAGCTGAGTCCATGCAGCCCAGCTGGCTCACTTCTGCTCTGTGACTCTTCCTGAACGGCCAAGGCAGCCTCACCTAGGTGCGCTCCTGTCGCTGTCAGCTTGCCTCTTGTATCTTAAGCTCTTCCTTTGTCTCACTGTCCCCAGCTTTAATAAGCATGCTCTCAAGATAAAAGTAATAACTTTAGACACAAAATAGTTTTTACTTTTCAAATCCTTTAGTTCCTGACATTTTCCTCCTCCACACCTCATCAGTGTTCTGTTTTCACTGGGCAGCTAACACATGGCAAGAAGAGAAACTGTATCATATAAAGAGGAGATTAACATTCTGATGCTCAGATGGGCAGCAAGCCCCTGACTTGGCGGCGAAGGTTCAGAATCAATGATACCTTTCTCAGACCTGCTCAGTACCAAGCGGCCCAGCCAGAGGGAACAGCCAGTGTTTGTATAGCACACAGCCAGATCACCCATTTCTCCTCTCTGCACCCTAATGGAAAAGGCTCCACAGGCCGCTCCTCCACACTCCTGAAAGTCACCTCTGAACACAGGACATTTACCCAGCACAACAGAACTCTGATGTCTGAAATGCTTAAAAACCCACTCCCACTCCTGAGTAAATGAACTCCCAGGTCGTTTCAAGCAGCCAACCTTCCTCATTTTACTCCTGTATAATAAAAGGAAATCAAAGACAATTATTAAAAATATTTTTTATTGACTGAAGCTGATCAATTCTCTTAGAAGGGCAGAAAGGCACAAAGTACATTCTTTAAAAAATTAAATTACAAGTTAAAACAGAAGTGGTTCAGACTTGAATAATTTTTTTAATGCATATAAAACGTGATCTTCCAGCAAGCTGCTGTGTGTGTGAGTAGGTGGGACGGCCACAGACCCGGACAAGTGGGGCTCCGCTCAGTTTTGGGACCGAGGCCCTCAACTCTCAGCAGCAGAGGAGGTGACTTCCAGTTAAAAACAGTGACTATCACATCACCTTGTGTCTGTTTACACAGCCACGTCCCGAGCTAAAACCACGAGAGAAGAGAAGACTCTTTCTCATTCTGTTTGAAGCTGACTCTGATAAACTACAGGGAAGTCTTTTTCTCTCAGCATAATTCCAAGTTTGTGTATCTACCATAGAGAATAAGGACTGATTTCTTACATGAGAAATATTTCTGACATATGCAAATGGTTAACTTGAAAACAAACAAAACATAGATGTTTAAAAATTAACTTCCAGTTTCTGCTCCTCTTCGGTATGCAATGTTGCTTCTGAGGGATCACAATTCTCTTCTTGTTTTCAAGGTTAAGTACTAGGTACTGATGTCTGCTTCCTGCCTTCCGCATAGACGAGGACTCGGCTTCTGCAGGAAGGAAACTCGGCGCTAATAAAATCAATGGTGCTGGATTGTGTGCTGTGAGCCCCGGTCTCTAAAGAATTAACTGGATCCTGATTTTCATCGCCATAGAGTCGGCACCACATTACAAGGAAGGAAACTTCTCAGCAGGGGGGGCAGGCGAGGAGAAGTGCTGCTTAGCTCTGTTTTGCAGTGTTTTCAATGCCCTTACGCTTACACTGAAAACAACTACAATGGTTGATACCTTCGAACTTACCTGGGTTCTCAGAAACCGTGCTGTGAAGGCAGGTTCGACGGCAGGAGACGCAAACCGAGAGAGTGCTTCCTGCAAGAAACCTTTTTCTAGAACTTGAAACCCCAGGACAAGACTTCCTTCCAGTCTGATAAAATGTTCATTTAGATAGTGATTTTGAAAGCTCTATGTAGTCACTTCTTTGGATTTAAAATTCTAGGTATTGAGAACAGAACTTTTTAAAATCTCCATTTCTCTTATAGGTAATTGGCATTTTACCCTGATTAAATTTAGAAGGTATGTATAAATAGATCAAACAAAAGAGAAAGAATTGCAGGTCAAACTGCATGACCTTAACTCCACCTTATCAGTGTTCCCCAAGTTACTTATTAAACTTCCACGGAGATTAGCCGGGAGATAAGCAAAGGTGACTTACCCACGAACACTGAATGCTGAAGAACACTTTTGTTCTCTTCAACTACTGAGAGCTGTTTTTTTTAGCTGACTCTTCTGAGGCTTCTAAGTTCTACAAAACAATTCCCAAATTAGTAACCAGGACAGAGAGTACTTAAGATGACAATGTGCATAGATGGCAGGTGTGCCTTCAAAGGACCTCGGGGGATTACTGAAATACAGTGAGGGAATTTCATACAACTACCATCCATCCATCCATCCATCCATCCAACAAGGACATACTGACTTCCTGTTCATGTGCGGGGGGGGGGGGGGGCTCCATCTCTTGAGGTGGAGTGGGGATGCTGTTGGCTAAACTGACCATGTGTGTTGCGGCTGAACTCCCAGCTGAAATCCGCTGACGCCAATATACCTGGCTTTGTCAGCCTTCAGAGACCTTGCAGGGAGCCCTGCGTGATGATGATGGTCACTGATGAGAACCAACCACTGAGTGCTCTACTTCACTCAAGTACCTACTGAGGGTTAGTCAGCCTCGTTAGGTGTTTGGAAAGATGTTTTTAAAGAGAAAAAAAGAAGGCAAGAGGATGATGACACCTTTAGACACAGGCAGATGCAGGTGGTGAACTTCAGCTTGTAGGGCAAGCCCCCTGCTCGGCCGCTTTCTCCCTGGCGGGACCCACTCTGAGCCACGTGGGGCCCCCCTCCGTGTGCAGACCTCCCTGCTCCACGAGCGAGCGCTGCCTTCTCCCTCCCAGACAGCCTCCCACGTATCCGACCCTCCGGTGGGTTCCTTCGTTCACAGAGAACGTTCTAAAAGGGACCCGAAGGCTGCAGCAGCCTGCACATGAAAGGAAAGGCCACTGTCGACGAGGCCACCAGCCTCCAGGAGGCCATGAGGCTGTCCGGCCCACGCACAGCTCCAGATGCAGTTTCAGGGCACCCTCCCCATCGCCACACCCCCGGCAGGCAGGCAGCTGTATGGGAGAAGGTGATGGGGCAGCTGTGCTGTGTTCTGCTCTTTCCTCTTTTCTCTGTTTTTATATTGATATGTTTTGTTTTTTTTTAACTTTTTTTTCTTTATTGATTTTGAGAGAGAGGAAGGGAGAGGGAGAGAGAGACAGAAACATGGATGAGAGAGAACATCGACTGGCCGCCTCCTGCATGCCCCCCACTGGGGGTCGGGCCCACAACCTGGGCATGTGCCCTGACCAGGAACCGAACCGGCGACCTCTTGGTGCATGGTCACCGCTTCACCACTGAGCCACACCAGCCGGACTATTGGTATGTTTTTTAATAGTTAATACATTGACATGGTTTCAAAATAAAAATCAGCTTGGCTGGTGTGGCTCAGGAGTTGAGCGTCAACCCATGCACCAAGAGGTCGCTGGTTCAATTCCCGGTCAGGGCACATGCCCAGGTTGTGGGCCCAATCCCCAGTGGGGGGCATGCAGAAGGCAGCCAATCGATGTTCTCTCTCGCTGATGTTTTTCTCTCTCTCTCCTTCTCTAAAATCAACAAAGAATTTTTTTTTTCCCACTTGGCATGGTTCATTGGATTGAGCATTGTCCTGTGGACTGAGAGGGTCCTGGTTGGATTCCCAAGTCAGGGTACATGCCTGGGTTGCAGGCTCAATCCCCAGTAGGGGGGGTGCAGGAGGCAGCCAATCAATGTTTCTCTCTCACATCGATGTTTCTCTCTCTCCCTTCCTCTCTCTCTAAAAAATCAATAAAAAACATTTAAAAAAAGAAAAAAGTTTTTTATCGATAAAAATATTTTTAGAAAGAAAGAAAAGAAAAGAAAGAAAGAAAAGAAAGAAGGAAAATAAAGATCATCATATATATTCTTATTCCCATCCCCTTTCTTTCTTTTTTTTTTATCCTCACCCGAGGACACTTTTTCATTCTTTGTTCAGATAGAGCAGGAGGGAGAGAGAGAGAGAGAGAAACATCGATGTGAAAGGGACACATCGAGTGGCTGCCACCCGCACGACCAACCAGGGCCGGGGACAAACCGCAACCGAGGTACATGCCCTTAGCGGGAACCGAACCTGGGTCTCTCCGGACCGCAGGCCAACGCTCTAACGGCTGAGCCAAACCGGCCAGGGCCCATCCCCTTTCACACACGTGGAGAATACTATGTGACCCTTTCAGTATCTTGCTTATTTCACTTCATAGTATACCTTGGAAGTATACTTCATAGTATACCTCCACACCCGAGGTCTTCCCCGCTCTGTTTCCCAGCTGGGCAGTACTCCAGCATGTGGACAGACCGTGGCTATTCACTGGGCTCCTTCTGCTGGACCCCTGGGCTGTCTCCCTGTTGCTGCACAAAGCAGTGCTATGAGACTTATTTGGCACACATGCAGATGTGTCTCTAGGAGAGGGTCCCCAAAGGCTCCGCTCTGCAGCAACCGTTAGGAAACAGCCAGGTTCCTGCCAGAAAGACAGAACACTCTGCCCTGCCCAGCAACTATGGGAGTGCCTGCTTCAGAGAAGGTCTTTGAAATAAGACCTTTGTCTCCAGCAACAGAGGGCAAAACCTGCGAAGCAGACAGGCTGCTCAGAACTTTCCCCTGCTTCCTTATTGCGAAAATGACCAGAGGGGCCCTGGCTGGGTAGCTCAGTTGGTAAGAGCCTTGTTCCAACACGCCGAGGTTGCAGGTTCAATCCCCAGTCAAGGCACATATAAGAATCAACCGAAGAATACATCAGTAAGTAGAACAACAAAAAGATGTTTTTTCCTGCATCCTCCCTTCCTCTTTCTAAAAATAAAAATAAAAAGACCAGCCCTGGCTGGTTTGGCACAGTGGTTAGAGTGTCGGCCCATGGACCAATGAGTCGTGGGTTTGATGCTAGTCAAGGGCAGGTACCTCTTACCTCGGTTGCGGTTCATCCCCCGCCCTGGTCAGGTTGTGCAGGAGGCAACCAATGTGTTTTTTCTCAATCGATGTTTCTTTTTTCTCTCTCTCTCTCCCCCTCCCACTCTATCTGAAGATAAATGGAAAAAGTGTCCTCAGGTGAGGATTTAAAAAAAAAAAAAGACCAGAGGGAGGAGTTTGTAAAGTTCACTGCCAAGTGAATTTTTGTTCATTGTTTTCCCAACATCTCCAGAGTCACTTAATCCACTGGAAAACAAATTACATCCAGAGCCAGGATATTTCCCAACTAGCAAGAGGTTTAATCATTTTTCCTCACCTGTAAGATAAAAGGCTGAGATCTCTCTTCTGGGTCTTTCTAGCTCAAAAAAAAATTTTTTTTTTATCCTCACCCGAGGACATTTTTCTATTTATCTTCAGACAGAGAGGGAGGGGGAGGAAGAGGGAGAGAGAGAAACATCGATGTAAGAGAGACACATCAACTGGTTGCCACCCGCACAACCCAACTGGGGCCGGGGACAAACTGCACCCGAGATACGTGCCCTTAGCGGGAGCCGAACCTGGGTCTCTCTGGACCGCAGGCTGACACTCTAACCGCTGAGCTAAACCAGCCAGGGCTTAAAAATTCTCTTGAGCTAAGTTTTCACCAACCTCCAGCAGTTTCAGTGACTTTTCAGTCTATACCTGAGGTCATTGTTTTGCCTTTTTCCTTCACTTTTCCTGCCAGTTCCATTCAGGGTATTTACTGAGCACCCTCTGTAGCAGATACTGGGGGTGCTACATCTGGGGGTGCCATGCTGAGCAAGGGGGACTCCTTAGGGGGTCAGGGATGAGCAGGGAGGCGTGGAGTCAGCTATCAGGAGCCGATCATGTGCTCTCATGCAGATATATCCACAAACACGGCCTGGGGCCAGGAGGAGGAGGAGTCTGTCAGCCAGATTACTTGGAAACACAGCAGTTCTACTACAACACCTGTTTGGAAAACGTGGATTTGTTCCAACACGTCTGTTATATTAGGGAACAACTTGACCAGAGTGTGAAGTTTGCATCTGTTTACGTGTAACTGTCCCTGAGAAAACCTAGGTGAAATGTACGCAACTGGACTGAGCCATGTGATGCACACGCGCATGCATTCACACGGGCTGCCCCAGTGCTCAGCAGCCACACCCACCCACACCTGCTGCTACCTCTACCCCTTTCCATTGTATCCTTCTCCCACTTCACAGTCAACCACAAGCTGTAACCTCTTCAGGCCATTTTCAAGGTGAAGTGCCATGTTTACTGAAGTATTTCCATATTTCTTTTTTTTTATCCTCACCCGAGGACATTTCTGCATTTATCTTTAGACAGAGTGGGAAGGAGAGAGGGGAGAAGAGAGAGAGAGAAACATCAACGTGAGAGAGACACATTGAGTGGCTGCCACCCACACGACCCCAACCGAGGCCGTGGACAAACTGCTACCGAGGTACGTGCCCCTAGCGGACACCGAACCCGGGTCTCTCTGGTCCACGGGCCGACGCTCTAACCACTTAGCAACACCGGCCAGGGCCCATATTTCTTAACCTCTTATCATGAAGGAAAGTGTCCTGCCATTTTGATCCTTTTAAAAAAATGTATCCCTGCCCAGCCAGTGTGGCTCAGTGGCTGAGCGTCACCCATGCACCAAGAGGTCGCCGGTTCGATTCCTGGTCAGGACACAAGCCCAGGTTGTGGGCCAAGTCCTGAGTGGGGGGCATGCAGGAGGCGGCCAAGCGATGTTCTCTCTCATCGATGTTTCTTTCTTTTTCTCCCTCTTCCTTCCTCTCCCTCTAAATCAATACAGGACAAAAAATATATAAATGTATGCCTGAAAAAGTGCTTGGGTTAAGTTATGGCATCTCCCCTGTGAGCGTGTGGCTCTACTGTGTGACAGTGTGGTGAGTTTTAGGGACCTGGGTATATGCTGTATTTCAGCAGAAGTAGCTGTGGTGCCAAACCAGTAACTAGGGTTGTGATATAATAACAGAGACTCTTCTTTATTCACACAGGACTGATAGTCTGCAATTCTGAGGTAGTGCTAGTAGAAATGACTTTTTTTTTTTAATTCCTTACCCAAGGATATTTTTCTATTTATCATAAGATAGAGAGGGAGGGAGACAGACAGAGAGACATCAGTGTGATAGAGCCACATCGACGGGTTGTCTCCTGCACGACCTGCCCAGGGACAAACCGCAACTGAGGTGTGCCCTTCACAGGAACTGAACCCACGACTTTTCGGTCCTCGGGCTGACGCTCTAACCACTGACCCAGACCAGCCAGGGTAGAAATGACATTTTAATATATCACAATAACTGTGATCACTACTAGTGAGCAAGTCACAGGTATTATGTACCACTATGGCTTATTTCCTATATTTGTAATGAAATGAAATGCTCATTTTCAATTAGAGATTAATAAACATGAACTTGGTGTGATTTTTAGTCCCATAAGAATTTATGGATTCCCTGAATTCTATTCAACAAACTGATTAAAAATCTCCACATCTCTGCCCAACAAACCCAGAAGCAGAAGTAGATCAGTGGTGGCTAGGGCTGGGGAGAGGGGAATGGGGAGGGACTGCTCATGGCGGGGGGGCGACAAAGTTTCTTTTGGGGAGATGAAAATGTCCTAAAATCGCAAGAGGAGTCAGCAAGATCCAGCATGTGGGAAATTCTACAGGACGGTTAACCCAGTGTTTTTCCCACAAATAAATGCTTCTCCCACTAAACGGAGGAAGAGAAGGAAGCAAAAGAAGAAAGAGGAGGAAGGGGAGGGAGAAGAAACGGTTCGTGGTCAAGAGAGACCATGAGGGACAAATCCAAATGCAAAGAATGAACCCTCGCTGGACAGTGATCAGAACTAAGAGTAAAAAGACACTTTCGAGATAACTGGGGAAACCTTAACAGGCCTAGTCACGGGCGGTACTCGAGAGTTAGAGCCTGGCTGGGAGTGACGATGCTGTGCTTGCTCCGGCAGGGGCCTGGGTTAGAGGTCCGCCCCGAGGGACTTCTGAGTGCAACGGCACACAGCTCCCAGAACACCGGTGCCCAGCGGGAGGCAGGACCAGTGGCCCGAAGCCAACAGCTACAGAAGGTCTGACTGCGGTCTTCGCTCTACCTCCATGTGTATTTGAAACTTTCTATAATAAAATGTTTTTTTAATCCCCAAGAATCTACATTCCTATGCCCAGGTAATTAGAAAGAGGAATTTTGGGTGCAGTGACATTTGAGTATGACTTTTTCTTCCTCAGAACAAGCATACTCTCTCGCACACACACGCACACACACACGCACGCACGCGCACACAGTGTGCGGCCCTCTCCCCCAGAGACACAGGGAGCTTCCGCTCACTGCCCGACCAGCTACGTGCACACAAGCGTTCAGTGCGAGCGCAGACACTGCACCAGCCGAAGAGGAGGAAGCGGTACCTTGTGGCCAGTGCTGCAGACACTCTCAGAGCTGATGGGCAGCAGGGTGCTCAGCTCCAGATCGGTGACCATCTGGCGAGACTCTGCCAGCAAACGCTGAAGCTTACTCGTGGGAGAAAAATCATCCTGCGAAGATAAAACAATTTAAGCAGCTAGGAAATCAAGGAGTATTTTCAAATGTTTATGTTTACAAGTACGATGTAACAAACATATGTTAATTACTTGTTAATACCACTTGAATTTAGGTTATTACATATCAAAACAGGACATTAAGTACTAGAATAACCAAATTCTATGTCTTTCTTAGAACTTACTTAGCTAAATAATTTGATTTAAGCAGACCTTACGACAACTAATTAAGGAACATCCATGTGATAAAAGAATCCCAGGTGCTGTTTTGCTCTTCTGATTCACCAAAGCTATGGTTAGAATGCCAGGATACTTACAAAATGCAACTTGAACATTAAAGGCTTGTTAGCTTTTTAAAATATGTGAAAATGTCTCTTGGTTTGTTCTTGTTTAACTTTCAGCCTTGGATCTGAATTTTTAGCATGCCAACTCCTCTCAAAAGCATTGAGACTACTTTTTTCATTAAGAAAAATCAATTTCTCCTTTTTTTTTTTTTTTTTATCCTCACCCGAGGATATTTTTCCATTTTTTGTTCAGATAGAGTGGGAGGGAGAGAGAGGAAGGGAGAGAGAGACAGAAACATCGATGTGAAGGGACACATCGAGTGGCTGACACCCGCATGACCAACCAGGGCCGGGGACAAACTGCAACCCAAGTACGTGCCCTTAGCGGGAACCGAACCCGGTCTCTCCGGACCGCAGGCCGACGCTCTAACCGCTGAGCCAAACCGGCCAGGGCAGAAAAGTCAATTTCTAATTCCCCATGAACAATGGTCACTGCTGACCTGGGTCTGGCGGCTGTTCGATAAACACCTGCTAACGACTACACACCGACCGCACACACGTGCACAGGCAGCGCAGGCAGCAGTGTCACACGTGCCTCGGAAAAACAGGTGCGGACATCGAAAACGGGTCTCTCGGGAGCTAAAAAGGTAATAGCCAATACCTCTCCTCATATTTGAGGTAGACCCGACAGACAATTAGCTGTGTACTCAGTGCGTGGCCTGATGAGCTGACACGTGCACACCCACGACACGTCCCCACGTGGACAGGGAGTGGGTCCTCACACCTGTGCCCTGGGAACTGCTGCCCCTGAAAGCCCCTCCACCCGCCTGACGAATGCTGACCTGCTCCCCTCACCAGGGATCAGTTAGCGTTTTCTAGAATTTTACAGGAACACACACAGTATACGTTTGGCTGGCTTCTTTTTTTTTTTTTTTTATCACATTGATTTCAGCTTTAATCTTTTTTTTTTTTTTTTTTAATCCTCACCCGAGGACATTTTTCCATTTTTTGCTCAGGTAGAGCGGGAGGGAGAGAGAGGAACAGAGAGAGAGAGAGAGAAACATCGACATGAAAGGAACACATCGAGTGGCTGCCACCCGCATGACCAACCAGGGCCGGGGACACACTGCACCCGAGGTACGTGCCCTTAGCGGGAGCCGAACCCGGGTCTCTCAGGACCGCAGGCCGACGCTCTAACCACTGAGCCAAACTGGCCAGGGCTGGCTGGCTTCTTTCATTCAGTACGGTTATCCTGAGATTCACTCATGCTGGGTGTGTGTAGTCATTTCTTCTTATTGCTAAGTACTTAACTATATAAACAGACCACAGTTTATTTGCCTACTGATGTGTATTTGGGTTGTTCCCAGTTTTTAGCTGTTATAAACGAAGCTGCTTGAATGTTCACGTACAAGTCTGTGTGGACACTTTTCCACTTCTCTAGGGGTGAACAGTTGGGTCCTATGGCAGGTGCGTGCCTAACTTTTATTTTTATCCTTACCTGAAGACATTTTTCCATTTTTGTTCAAATAGAGTGGGAAGGAAAGAAGAAGAGAGAGAGAAATATTGACGTGCAAGGGACACATTGAGTGGTTGCCTTCCCCACAACCCCAACCGGGGCAGGGGACAAACTGCAACCGAGGTACGTGCCCTTAGCAGGAACCAAACCCTGGTGTCTCTGGACTGCACGCCGAAGCTCTAACCACTGGTCAGGGCCCTAACTTTTCAAGAAACGACCAAAGTGTTTTCCAAAGTGGCTGAACCATCTACACTCCTACCGTCAGTGAATGAAAGTCCCTGCTGCTCCAGATTCTAGGCAAACTTAGAATGGTCACTTGCTAACGAAGTGTACACTGCCCTGTCTGGTTTGGCTCAGTGGTTAGAGTGTCGGCCCGTGGGCCAAAGGGTCTTGGGTTCGATTCCAGTCAAGGGCATGTACCTGGTTTGCAGGTTTATTCCTCAGCCCTGTTGGGGTTGTGTGGGAGGCAGCCAATCGATGTGTTTCTCTCACATCGAAGTTTATCTCTCTCTCTCTCCCCCTCCTTCTAAAAAAAATCAATGAAAAAACATCCTTGGGTGAGGATTGAAAGAGAGAGAACGAATCTCACCAAACACCCACTGGGGCCAGGACCGAGCAGCTGCCATGCTCTCTGCACGTCTGCAGTGGGGAACGGAAGCTCGAACAATTACACAACAGTGTGCAGGTCACTGAGGTAGGACAAAGCAAAAACGGAGATCTGAACCCAGATCAGTACAAATGAATATACACCCTTGGCAAATCAGTCTGATTTCAAAGCCAGATACCCTCCCAAGGTGACCCCAAAGTGATTAAGTTGACCAGAACTTCCCTTTGCTGAGTGCGCTCGAATGGAGCCCTCGCTCGTGAGGACGACACTGGATCACCCTTGGGAGAAACGAGGCAGAAACTACCCCGCTGGCCACCAGCAGGGCCACAGACAGACAAACTGGTCTGTTGGATCAACAGACTACACACAGTTAACAAGCAACACGAAAACACTGGGTCCACACGTGTCCGCCTGGATAAATGTCACAGAACACTGGCAAAGCTGGGAAAGTCGCACCGCAAAAGGATAGAGACATTATTTTCCCATTCAGGTACACTTCATTTTTTTATCCTCACCCGGACAATTTTTTTTTTTTTTTGCATTTATCTTGCGATCGAGCTGGAAGGAGAGCAGGAGGAAGAGAGAGAGAAACATGATGCGATAGGGCATGTGCCGTAGCGGGAACCGAACCCGGGTCTCTCTGGCCAACGCTCTAACCGCTGAGCCAAACCGGCCAGGGCCCATTTAGGCACACTTTAAACACACACAAAACAATATTAGGTAGTGTTTAAGTTACACTTTTATGTAATAAAAGAATAAAAACAACTTCAAACAGTGGTGGGGAGGACAGGGAGAACGTGGGATCACACCTTACTTGTAACTCTCTCTTTAGAAGAGAAATACAGCAAACAGGGCAGAATGGAAACACATCAAGTCTAAACGCAGGTAACTACTGCTTGTCAGTCTTCATTTTTGTATGTTTAATAATTATTAATTAAAAATCGAGCCCTGGCCAGTTTGGCTCAGCAGTTAGAGCATCGGCCTGCGGTCCAGAGAGACCCAGGTTTGGCTCCCGCTAAGGGCACGTACCTCGGTTGCAGTGTGTCCCTTTCACGTCGATGTTTCTCTCTCTCTCTCTCCCTCCCACTCTATCTGAACAAAAAATGGAAAAAATGTCCTCGGGTGAGGATTAAAAAAAAAAAAAAAATCGATACATCAATCACCTGGAGAGCCAGAGGGACATCCTGCCTAAAGCTAACCTACAAGATATTTATATCACAAAGTCCTATAACGTAAATAAACTTGAAGCATGACCAAAACTACGCAAGCCACCTACAGTGCTATAGAGAATTAAAAGTACGTGAGACGTCTCACAGGAATCAGCTAGGTATTTCTAAGTGAAATACAAACCTTCTCATTGGGCAATGCTAACTCTTGGTTCATGAACAAAATCTTGGATGAATTCTTTTGCTCGGAAGAGGATTCTGCCTCTGCCCCCTTCTCATCCTCTCTCACTGCAGAACTCAGACAGTGGGAGCGCTGGACGGCAATGAGCTCGCTGGAAGACCGAAACCAAACAGAAACAGGCATCTTAGAACCGTACCCAATGTGCACCACCGATCCTCTGCAGCTAGAAGCTTCTCAACGGGACAGACAGAAAGGTGTTTCTTTTTTTTTAACAGAGAAGCTCGAGTTTGAGTAAAACATTATATATCCGAATAGAACATTTGAGTAGAATATTATAGATTAACGCACACTTTTTGCAATAAGAATGAAAACAAAATCCCTTTTTTTTTTTATCCTCTCCCAAGGAGATTTTTGCATCTATCTTCAGATAGAGCGGGAGGGAAAGAGGAAGGAAGAGAGAGAGAGAAAAACATCGATGTGAGAGAGACACATCGACTGGTTGCCACCCACATGCACAGAGGCCAGGGACAAACTGCAACCAAGGTATGTGCCCTTAGTGGGAACGAAACCCAGGTCTCTCTGGACCATGGGCTGATGTTCTAACCACTGAGCCAAACCAGTCAGGGCCAAAACAAAATTCTTAAAGGGTAACTATAGAATAGAGAATGCCCTGGCTGGTTTGGCTCAGGTGGTTAGAATGTCGGCCCGCAGACCAGAGAAACCCAGGTTCGGTTCCCGCTAAGGGCACATACCTGGGTTGCAGTTTGTCCCGGCCCTGGTTGGGGTTGTGTGGATGGCAAGCAGTCGATGTGTCCCTCTCACGTTAATCTTTCTCTCTTTTCCTCCCTCTCTACCTCCTGCTCTATCTGAAGATAAATTCAAAACTGTCCTCAGATGAGAAAAAAAAGAAAAGAAAAGGCAGCTCAGAGACAGGATCAACCAAAAGGGAGCAAAAAAAATTAACATGGTATAATTTGTAAACATTTTAGTTTTTTGGTTTGTGAGACGGATTTCTCTTAATGGTATTTAAAAGTCCTTTTGTGAAAGTAGAATGCATTGCTGGGGCTCAGAAATTCCACAGTTTCTCCAAATCAGTAAACACACACATGTAGCAAAGCTTCTGGGTGTATTATCAGCATTAATAACAAAAGCTGTTCTGGAACAGACGGGAGGCAGCGGCCCCTCCCCCCACGTAACCTGTAACCAGGTGGGAGCACACAGCCAGGGCTTCTCCCCCACAGGTAACCTCTACTGGCCAAACGGAATGGTGTACATATGTGAACACCAGGGAGATAACAGAGTAGGTACACAGGTTCTCACAATCTAAGGAAAACAGAAATATCTCTTCTACTTGATCGGTACCTGTCATGCGAGGCCTGGCATGTGTGCCTGCTGGCCCAACAAGAAGTCACTCTGATTACTTCAAGCCAGGGAGGTCAAGACGGTCTTGAAAGAAAACTGAACTGAAACCTGGACTTCTCTCATACATGAAGGTTAACATATGTCCACTACGCTTTACAACGATGTGACCCGGCTTCTCCTTCCACCTATGGGTGCTCGTCCGCAGCGCAGTCGGTGCCCTGGTGCCCTGCCCACAGCCAGGCCGATCTGGGGGTCTCAGACACCAGGTCTGAATACACAGAACTTACTGTGACAACCCATTTTTAAAAATTTTGAAACTGATGGAATAACTACGTGTATGATTTTTAAGTGACTCGGGCAGGCTTCTTTTTTTTCTCTTTTTTTGTGGTACATGCCCCTAGCGGGAACCAAACCCAGGACTCTCTGGTCTGCAGGTCGACGCTCAACCGCTGAGCCAAACCGGCCAGGGCTCAGGCAGGCTTCTAAAAGAGCCAAAGGACAATCCAAATAATGGAAATACTAGAAACAAATTTAGTCATAAAGTCCCACAAAGTCAAAGTGATGATTTACCACAAGGCCCTCAATAGAGACTTCATGTTTCCTGTGATTTAAGACTGAATAGGTAGGTTCTGTTCGACAATAGCCGACATTATCGTAGGGCCCCTCAACACAAAGTTCAGCCACTGTGAGGACCCGGTGGGCCTGAATAAAGCAGCACGCTAATAACCAACCCATTTTCCTCTCTTAAACAGTGTCTCCAGCTGTTAAATACAAGTATTCTTTCTCTTGCGTGATTTTAAAGAGTAAGAATGTCTGAGAAATGAACAGTGAACACAGGCAGAAGCAGTAGGATGTGTAAGTGTGGGGGTGACCTGGAGAGGGGCGTGGTCTGGGGTCCAGGGAATGCTTTCAGGCGCACACAGACACCACTCACCAATGCAAACCATCCTGGGTGAGGCCTGCCCCCGAGCAGCGCAAAGTGACTCACCTGTTTGCTTTTAAATAAAACATATTTGCCCAGCTCATGACAACCGGGTTTGTTCTAAGCAAAACCTTTGCCTCAGAGGCTGTCCTCCGCACAGACTTCACCGCAGTCTACTCGTCTCCGCGCATCAGAACCGAACAGCCTCAGCTGCGATGCTGAGGACGCAGGTTGTCTCGAACACTACTTGTCTGCAAGCACCACGTGGCCACTGCTCTGCCTGGACTCCCGGGGACTCCCCACGGCACAGCCACTAACCTCGCGGCCTTGTATCTCGTCCCACTGGCGCTCTCCGCACACGTGCACACAGACTTGTGGCGGACGATCCTCTGCAGCTTTGAGGGCTTGAAAATGCTCATCCACTCAGCATCGGACATCTGGCCTGGCGCCTCGACGATGAAATCACTCGGGTGGCAGCACCTGAACCTACACGTGTCATTCTCACCCAGACAGGCTGCATTTTCATGGCAACACAAGACTCCTGATCTTTCCTTGGGGTCTTGGCATTGAGCATCCAGCTTTTCTGGTTGTTTGGAACCAGAACAGTCGGCCAGGCCCAGGTACACGCTGACATCATGCCACGACCTTTCATCAGATGAAGCTGATGTGTCCAAGAGCTGTTTCTCTTCGATCTGATTTCCAATTCCATTACTTTTTGGGGATTTTGCATGGATGTTGCACAATGTACTTTTGTTTTCAGGTTCAATCTGGAGTTTCCCTCCCAGAGACCAAGGTTTTTGTTTCTCCATTAAGTCTTTGGCAAACAGAGATGAGATAGCAATTACACTTTTTTCCCCCAACGAGGTATTAACCTGCAGCTTCTTCTCTTTGCACACATCACAAGAGCTCTTGTCTGACCTATTTTGCTGAAACAACGTGGTCTCAAATTTTTGGTCCTTAACCAGTGACTTCTGATTTTTCTCCCTCTTAATATCGACTTTTGGGTGGTTATTTTCAAGGTCAGATAAACACATGTCTCTGCTATGGTGGCATCACAAAAAACGGAAGTTATAAGATACACTCGATACTGTCACTTTCAACATTTAACCCAAACCTCATTAGTTGAACTAAATCCTAATAAGGCCCATTTTTCTGAAATTAAATACAAGGAAGAATATTTATTCATTCTTCAGAGCCCAAATTCAGCGGCGCCCCGAGGAAATCTCTCTGACCACCGAGCCCCCTCCTCCTTCCCATCCCAACTGCCACTGTGCTTACTAAGTCACAGGTTACCTGGCTGTGTAGAGTATCTGATTAATCACACAGCAAACTTCCTATTAAAACTATTACTCAGTAACTATATTCATCTACCCCGTCTTTTCAATGGACACTTTTATATGAGCCCACTGTTGAATCCTCCCAGCACCCAGGTCAGACGCTAACGGATAGTAAGTGTTCTGTAATTACCTGCTGATTGGTCTGATAGTCCCTTCAGAATTCTATCAGTTTCACAGTAAACACAGTTAAAGCCAGGACCAAAAGGTGGTGGAGAGTCAAGGTATGGAGATAAAGGGGAAAGTGCAAACGTGTTTACCATTCTGTACACATGACCATCCCACTGACCTGCTGGAGACTTATGGAGCTACACAGTGAAAGCTGATCTTTAAGTACTAATGACACTTGTATGAAATAAAAAGCAACAATACTCTATACATGTGACTGACCTTTGACTACGTTGTCTTTTAAAGTTTTCCATGTCATAGGAATCCAGGTATTCTGATCTGATCCCTGGGAAAACTCAACCCCTCCTAGGATGGCATAAGCCATTTTATGCTCCTAAAGAGTCCCCTCAACCACCTAGCCTGGGCACCTCCCAGTGGCAATGAAGTACAAGATGAGAATGAAGAACAGGCCAAGTCATAAGCCTGCCAAGCTCGCAGGGCCACATGGCAGGCCTGCCAAGCTCAGTGACCAAAAGTAACCACACAGGATAATCTGCTCAAATTCCTTACTGGGCAGGCCACAGGGGGTAGTCAGGTCCCAGGCCCAATTCTAGCTTAAGTGAGCCTTGTCCACTGCTCTTATGCGTCCAGGATAACATACCTTTGATGTGTCTGAGTCATTTTCTTTTCCTACCCCTCGAAGACACACCCACCAGCACCAGACCCCAGCACCCCTCCCTGTTATCTTGGTCCACGTCCTCACTATGCTGTAAATGCTCATTATTAACTATCCTGTACCCACCAATGCAAAAGAAGTCTCTCTGCTTTACTTTTTATCCAACCCCAGAAAGTGCTCTGCTTTGCTTTCTCCTGCCTCCCTGATCTACCAGCAGTGGGTTTCATACGCCTGCCTTACGTCTTCTTTTTTGATTCTAAAGTGTAAAATAAGTTGCAAAACTGCCATTCTTAGGAGCATTTGAGATCTTGCTCCTGGCAAATGCCATCAGTTTGGCTCAAATAAACTCATAAAAATTCTCTACAGGTTTGGACATTTCTTTCATCAGCAAAGGAAAAAGAGCCAGTATGTCAGGGTCTTGCCCGCAAGGGAGCTCTGTGCTGCTTGGTTAGCAGCGGCCGCAGCTGGGCTTCCAAGCCCTGCGTGGGAACCCCTGCCGGGGCCTCAGGAGAAAAGTGCAGACTCCCCGTCGCAGTCTCCACCGAGCTGAGCCCCTGCAGCCCACTCCTGCAACTGCTACCTAGTGGGCAAGGGAGCTGCCGTCAACCCAGGAAGCCTTGGTGGCCACAGGCAGCTGTGGGGCACGTCCATGAGCCCAGTTCCTTCCATGATTCCTTGGCAAAGTAGACTGAAGTTAACTGGGACAGTTACATGCCTGTTAAGTTAAACTGCATCTCATGTGTTTCTACTTTAATTTTACAGAGACTCATTTAACTCCCACACTGCTTGTTGCAGTAAGGGACGATGGTGTCTCTGTCCGTTGACAAGGAAACAGGAAAACCAAGGGAAGAGCAGTGCTCGCCCTCAGCTGGCTGAGCCCCCATGGAAGCTGGGTTCACCACGCTCTGCTTCACTTCTTTAGCCGAGCACCGTGTGCTGTGTATCGGCATCTGCCCTATTCCTAGCCCAGTGCCTACTGTACTGTGAGCGCTGAATGAACAAACAACTCATTCCTGTAGTTCCTACTTTAACTCAAAGCCTTCTACGCAACAGACACACAAATAATGCTTAAAGAATTTTTTTTTATGAAGTGGCTCAATTAGAGTCATGCCTTAAATTCTAAGCTCAGGTCTCACCACACCCAGGGTTAAGATGGTCACTGTTAGCTCACGTAAGTCACGCTCCACAAAGGGGAGAGCAGGTGCTGGACCACGGCAGCACTCCACAAGCATGGCTGAATGACGGAGAGACTACCAGGTCACACGCACAGCGTCTCCCTGGGGTTACCTGCACTCCAGGGCCTTGGACTCCTCCGTCTTGGAGTTATAGATCTGTATTAACTCCTGAGAATTTTCCACGTTGAAATTAAGAAACTGCAGATCACTCTGTTGTTTTACATAAACCTGCCATAGATATTGATAAGTCATTATAAAGTGTAACAACAGAACCAAACCAAGGCAACAACTGGGTACTTTCAACTGCTAAAACATCAGATGACTAGAGAAATGTTAAAAATTTTTGCTTTGCCCTGGCCGGTTTGGCTCAGCGGTTGGAGCGTTGGCGGTACAGAGAGACCCGGGTTCGGTTCCCACTAAGGGCACGTACCTCGGTTGCAGTTTGTCCCCGGCCCTGGTTAGTCGTGCGGGTGGCAGCCACTCTATGTGTCCCTTCACATCGATGTTTCTCTCTCTCTTCCTCTCCCTCCCTCCCGCTCTATCTGAACAAAAAATGGAAAAATGTCCTCGGGTGAGGATAAAAAAAAACAAATTTTTTTTGCTTTTATTTTTTTCCACCCTGGCCAATGTGGCTCAGTGATTGGACCACTGGCCCTCACACCAAAGGGTCTTGGGTTTGATCCCAGTCTAAGGCATGTACCTGGGTTGCAGGTTCAATCCTCAGCCCCGGCTGGGGTGCGTGTGGGAGGCAACCAATTGATGTATCTCGCACACATTGATGTTTTTTTCCTCTCTCTTCCTCCCAACTCTAAAAATCAACAGAAAAAATATCCTCAGGTCAAGATTTTAAAAAAAAAATTGTTTTGCTTTCGTTTTTTCCTGTTAGCACTGAGATTTGTTAGTAAAAAAAGTCTCCTAACCTTTAATTACCATGAACAAGACCCTATCTGCTATATTAAACATGACAGACATCTAATGTAACTGGGATTCCAAAAAGCACCATAAATAAGATCAACAGACTACACTTTTCCTAACGTGGTGTTTGTTTATAAACGTTCCCCCCAGCAGTAGCAGCAGTGCACCTGGGACATACCTGTCTCAGACTATGCAGTTCTGCATTTGTACGTTCTTGTTTCGACTTCGCAATATCAAGCATCTCATCTTTCCTTTTCTCTCTCTCTACTATTGAAGAAAAAAATATTAAAATGCTTTTCATCAGCCACATCAACACAAACCTCTTCGTGTCCAAAAATTATTTTGAGACAATGGGATGAGTAGAAAAGATGTTTAAATCAGCCTAGCAAATAACTTTAAAAATTCTTCCACAGCCCTGGCCGGTGTGGCTCAGCGGTTAGAGTGTTGGCCCACGAACCAGAGAGACCCTGGTTCGGTTCCTGCTAAGGGCACGTACCTCGGTTGCAGTTTGTTCCTGGCCCTGGTTGGGGTCGTGTGGGTAGCAGCCAGTCGATGTGTCTCTCTCATATCGATGTTTCTCTTTCTCCCTCTCTCCCTCCCGCTCTATCTGAAGATAAATGCAAAAAAACAAACAAAATTCTTTCACAAAATGAGTTTCTAACAAATTCCATATATTTTATTGAGTAAATCATAACTGGATGTAAGAGTAAAAATTGGTGAGTCAAAAAGAAAAGACACTTAGAACACCCTGTAAATGTTCTCCTCCCCTGACCTCCCCTGGCATTTCACTCACAGCCTTTCCATGGCCCTCAGTTCTCTGGGCTCACAAACTTCTTAGCAAATAGAGCGCCTGGCACACAAACGCTGACCCAAAGACTGTCTGAATTCAGCTCTGAAGCTACTAATATAAACATGTATTTTATCTACCTATTTATCTATATCTTTAGCAACATAAGATATTACTTTGAGAAAATAGTGGAAATAGTGACCTCTGGTGGTAGAAAGCCATATTTTCCACATGAGATTCAAATGAAGAATTCAATCTTATTTGAAAAATTTTAAATAAAATACTGCATTTTGCCCTCTTAACTTTATAGAAATGCATTCTCTTCCTAGAAGGCAGGGCACTGAGGGTAGGTGTGAGTAGGCCAAAAAAATGTTAATTTAATTTCTATTTGGAATTTTACCTCCAAGTCTATGATTTTCCTAATCCCCTCTACCAAAATGAAAGCCTTATAAAATCCTCTTGGCTGGCAGGATGGAAATAAGATCTATGTATTAGTGATTCTCAATTGGGAGAAGAGAAAAGAGAGATTTTCACTAGTGAAAACTGAGATACTGGGGTAGACAGGGAAGGGATAAAGTGTGGGAGAATATAGGGGGTGGAAAATAGGAATTTTATCAGAAGGGGGCCAAAGTTAAACCTTACTGATAAACTTGCTTTTAAATCAAGAAAAATATACCCCCAACATTATTATTTTAGTATCATACTGATATAACAAAACACATGAATATTTTTCCAACCATAATAATTACAGGTAATTACAAACCTGGAAAAATGGTGAATTGCTAACTTTTATATAGTATTTGCAAAAGCAGAAACAATTTTCCTTCTTCGGTTCATAAGATTCTTTCTTAATTTTTTTTTTTTTTTTTTTGAGAAGTATAGTCATGGGCTCAAGCTTGAAGGGGGTAGCTCATTTAAAATTTTTTTTTATCCTCACCAGAGGACATTTTTGCATTTACCTTCAGATAGAGCAGGAGAAAGAGAGGGGGGAAGAAAGAGAGAGAAACATTGACACGAGAGAGAGACATCGAGTGGCTGCCACCCACACAACCCCAACTGGGGCCAGGGACAAACTGCAACTGAGGTACATGCCCTTAGCAGGAACTGAACCCAGGACGCTCTGGTCCGCAGGCCGACGCTCTAACCACTGAGCCAAACCAGCCAGGGTAGGGGGTAGCTCATTTTACAGAAGAGGAAACAGTTAACTGGGAGGCATGGTAACAGTTTTTTTTTTAATCCTTACCCAAGGCTATTTTTTCCATTTATCTTCAGATAAAGTGGAAAGGAGGGAGAGAAACAGAGAGAAACATCAATGTGATAGAGTCACATTGACTGGTTGCCTACCACACGACCCCAACTAGGGCAAGGGACAAACTGCAACTGAGGTACATGCCCTTGACTGGAATCAAACCTGTGACTCTGGTCCAACGCTCTAACTGCTGAGCCAAATTGGCCAGGGCCATGGTAACAGCTTTAAAATTCCCTGCCTGGTCCCTCCCCATCCATCTAAGGGTGTTTAAAAGAAACTAAAAAAATATTTTGAGAGAGGTAATATTCCTTTAGCCTGCCATAGTAGTATCACAGGAAGTTCAGGATACAAATATGTACCTATCCAGTCACTTAAACCAATTATTTTACCAGTAAAAACCAACTCATCGTGCAGGCAACTCTTCTCCTGCTTGAGGCGAATGATCTCTTCTCGTTGCTCATTGTTCTCTGTTGTCTTTTCATTTAGATCCTCTTCACAGATAGGAGAAAAAAAGAAGTTCTCAAATAAACACTAGTTCCTAGAATATACACACATCACGACCACCTCTCATGTCCTCAGCACCCCGTTCTGACAGAAGTCCTGTCCCATGTCCAGTGGCTCACTGCATCTCTACAATGACCCTGGCCAAGGCCTTGCTCTCTCTCTCACCTGACCGGTCTTCCTGCTCCAACCTTACCTATCATCCACGGCCCAATCAGGGCAATCTTTCCAAAATAAGACTGTCCACGTCACCTCTCTGTTAAAAGCCCTCCTACCACACTTAGGATGAAATCCAGACTCGTAACCGTAAGCCCTCCTGGCCCTCCTGCCTGTCTCTCTCCCCCTTCTTTCGCTCTGTTCCTTGAATGTGGTCCAACCTCAAAGCCCTCAAAGACTTTTGCATTTGCTATTTCTTCAGCCTGGAAGGTTCCTGGCCCAGGTCTCTTCCCATCATCCAAGTCTTGAAAGACGCCTGGCAGTTTTGCTCAGCGGTTAGAGCACTGGTCTGCGGTCCAGTTTAGAGAAAGATGCCTCCCCAGTCCACCTAAACTGGGTCTACTTCCCCCGCTCTCTAGTCCACTTTCCATTGCCCTGTTCTTCTTTAAAAAAAAAAAAAAGTTATAATAAATAGTCAATTTATAAAATAAGGCATTAATAATAATAAAGTAGCCCTGGCCAGTTTTGCTCAGCGGTTAGAGCATCGGCCTGCGGTCCTGAGAGACCCGGGTTCCGTTCCCGCTAAGGGCACGTACCTCGGTTGCAGTCTGTCCCCGGCCCTGGTCGGTCGTGCGGGTGGCAGCCACTCGATGTGTTCCTTTCACATCAATGTTTCCCTCTCTCTCTCTGTTCCTCTCTCTCCCTCCCACTCTACCTGAACAAAAAATGGAAAAATGTCCTCGGGTGAGGATTAAAAAAATAATAATAATAATAAAGTAGACTTTTTACTTGAATATCTTGCCTAGGTATACATAGCATTCAGTCAATCTTTATCACTCAGCCAGTGTGGCCCAATGGATTGAGCGTCATCCCATGGACTGACAGGTCCTGGTTCAATTTCCGGTCAAGGCACATGCCCAGGTTGTGGGCTTGATCCCCAGTAGGGGGTGTGCAGGAGGCAGCCAATCGATGTTTCTCTCTCACATTGATGTTTCTCTCTCTCTCTCTCCCTTCCTCTCTAAAAATCAATAAAAATAAAAATAATAATAATTAATATTTATCAAATGCCTACAATGTACCTCAGGAGGTACAGATCCAAAAAAGAAGTCACATCCGTCCCTGATGTCAAGGGGCTTATTGTATGGTTAGGGTTATAGCTGAAGCCATGAATGGAGACAAAACCTACGATCTGCCACAAGTCAGAGCATCATCGTAAGAACAAGACTGAGTCTTCTAGGTTAAGTCAGCCACCACACACACAGGTTCAGCAGCAACTCACTGCCTCATCAGACACTCCAGCAGGACAGAGGAAGGAGATCCCACCGTCCTAAGGGCGCTTGTTCCACAGTGGAAGCCAGCCTCTCTGCCCCCAGTGGGGAAAGGCCAGGGGAAAGTCTACGCGCACAGCCTCTGTTGACAAATTTAAATTTCGACTCTATCACCTATGTCCACATCCAAGTACGTAGCACTAACCTATGTAGTATACAGACCTTCATTTCATTATAAAACTTCAAGTAATATTATTCAGAAGGAAATGAATCACGGAGCTACTGAGAACGAAAATAGAAAAGGAGAATGCAAAGGGATGTATAAAAATAAAACAAGCACCAAAAGCCACTCTGGTAGAGCAAGTCGTTGGTGGCAATTCCTCGCTGCTCCCCGTGTTCCTCCCACAGATCCCTGCAACCCCTCCCACGAAGAGGCAGAGGGTTTCCCCACGTGATTTGCTTTGAGCAAAAGAATGAGGAGGAAGTGGTGGTGTGTCAGGTCCTCGCGTTTCTGCTTCCTCTACGCTTCTGCCCTCACCGCAGAAAGACGTGCCCACTGGTGAGATGAGGCACAGGGAGCAGAACACCCCGCGTGAGCAGCGTGGCCAATTCTCGCGAGCCTCCAGACTCACGAGTGAACCGCAGGCTCACGGCCACGTGCCCGACACAGTGTCGTCGGTTGTGCCAGAGCAGGAATCAGCCTCGCTGGCCGGTGCAGCCAAGGCAGGGTACTGAACAAACACCATGACTGTGCGGTTTCCCCAACTCTGTCATCTACCGTGTAACACAGAAGTGCAGCATAATTCCACACCCACGAAATGAACATTTCATGGTCAGACCTAGAGCCAGCAACACACCTCCACCTAATCATAACCTGAAGACATATAATCCCAAATAAAATAAAAAAATAAAAAAGACACACAGTCCCAGGATAAAACTCTTACATTTATGTCCCTTCCTTACCTTTTAGTTTATTGACTTCAACCTTAAGGGCCTTCAGTTTCTGCTTATAGTCTTGCTTTTCTTTCACAATACAAGTCTCCACCATCTTGGCATCGCGCAAGGCGTGCTCCAACAACTTAAATTTACCCGAGCAGTCTGCAATGTGACTGACTGCCTCAATGATATCTTTGTCCTAAAAAGCAAATTTGAAAAATGTTCTGGAAGATTTTTAAATTCCAACTAATCAATACAAAAATATTACGTTTCTTTTTGTTTTTTATTTCTTAATTTTCCCATGTTTAGTCTCCCCTCACCAATTTTTTTTTTTTTTTTTACTTTTTTATCCTCACCCGAGGACATTTTCCCATTTTTTGTTCAGATAGAGCAGGAGGGAGGGAGGGAGGGAGGGAGGGACGGAGAAAGAAAGAGAGAGAGAGAGAGAGAGAGACATCGACGTGAAAGGGACACATCGAGTGGCTGCCACCCGCACTACCAACCAGGGCCAGGGACAAACTGCAACCGAGGTACGTGCCCTTAGTGGGAACCAAACCCGGAACTCTCTGGTCCATAGGCCAACGCTCTAACCACTGAGCCAAACCGGCCAGGGCCTCCCCCACCAATTTTTATTAATTTACTTTTGTTACAGATGTTTCTCCTTTGTCCCTCCTAGACACCCTCCTCCCCATCCCGCTCCCCTCAACCCCCATCTTTTGTTTCTTAAAAATATATTTTATTGATTTTTTAGAGAGAGGAAGAGAAAGAGAGAAACATTGATGTATGAGAGATACATCAGCTGGCTGCTTCCTGCACATCCCCCCACTGGAGATCAAGCCTGAAACCAAACCAGGACCTCTCAACCCACTAAGCCACACCAGCTAGGCCAGATTACATTTCTTAAGACGTCACTGTGGCCCTGGCCGGTGTGGCTCAGCAGTTAGAGTGTCGGCCCGCAGACCAGAGAATCCTGGGTTTGGTTCCTGCTAAGAGCACGTACCTTGGTTGCAGTTTGGTCCCGGTTGGGGTCATGTGGGTGGCAGCCACTCGATGTGTCTCTCTCATGTCGATGTTTCTCTCTCTCTTCCTTCCTCTCTCCCTCCCGCTCCATCTCAAGATAAATGCAAAAAAAAAAAAAAAAAAATGTCCTCGGGAGAGGATAAAAAAAAAAAAGATGTCACTGTGTGCCAGGTTTGGGTGGAAGCACTTTTCACGTGCTACCTCGTTTCACTTGCACTGTAACTCTCCAGGTAGGTCCTATATTTATCCCCATGTGACTGATGAGTCAACAGTAACCTGCCCACGGTTACACAACTAGTGATGGAACTCCTATTTTTCTCTCACCCCGAAACTAAGAATTTAAAAGAGCGCACCGCCGGCAGCTGTGTCTGTCTGCACAGCTATGAAATTTAATAAGATAACGCATGTGATTATACTCCATAAACTACCACGTGCCATGGCAAATGGAGGCAGGATTACTTTGAATTACCTTTAGTTTTATCATTGTAGTGAGAGCCTGTTCTCGAGCTTGTAATTGTCCTACTTGAGCAGAAAGCTCCACTAAGGTGTTGCTGAGATTCTCGTTTCTGGCCTGAAGGGAACAACACAGAAATACTCACGCACACGTCATTTAAGAGTGTTCATTACTCTCAGCAGCCACACTCTGGGCTCATTCTTCTGCTTCCCTGTTTCTTTAACTTTTTGTTTAGTAACAAAGTGGGCTTAGTAAGCAGTCATCAAAAGGAACACAAATACCCATTTCTCTCTTACCTCTAGCATTCTCTCAATACTAGTGCTTGCTCTACTAAATTATGTTGGTTGTATTTATAAACATGTCTACTTCCTAATGTCTTTTATGTATAATTCTAAGTTGGCAAGAAAGAAGATAATGAATGAACAAAAGAAAACTGAGATTCCCTTTGCTAAAATAAAGTAGTAGTGAACTTCTGTGGATCTTTTTTTAACTCTGTGTTGAAGGAGCTTCATACTGGGTAGTGCCACTCACCAGAATTTTTTTTTTTTTTTTTTTGGGGTACGTGCCCCTAGCGGGAACCAAACCCGGGACTCTCTGGTCCAACCACTGAGCCAAACTGGCCAGGGCATCACCAAATTTTTTTAAAACCACAAAACTATATCTGATGTAACTACTGTGTACATGATGTATTTTTTGGTTAGAAAAAGGGAATAACTGGGCTTTAGGAAAGATATCTCCGTGGCGGAAACTTAAATGCATGTTGCTGGGGAAAGACGCCAGTGTGAAGAGGCCACCAATCTCGCCATGTATTCCACTGTGTAACATTCTGGAAAAGGCAAAACCACGGAGCTGGTGAGAAGATCAGTGGTGGCCAGGGGTTGCCAGGGGCTGTGGGAGGGAGGGATGGAGCACAGAGGACGCTCAGGGGTAAAACTTTTCTGTTCCATTAATGCTGGACATATGTCACTACACATCTGTCAAAACCCACAGGACATATGACACCAAGAAAAAGCCTAATGTAAACTATGGACTTTGGGTGATAACGATGTGTCCATGTAGACTGACTGTAACAAATGCACTACTGTGGCAAGAATGTCCACACTGGAGGAGGGTGGGGGAAGGTGAATGAGAACTCTCTGCATGGTCCACTCTGCTGTGAACCTAAAGCTGCTCTAAAATATAGTCTAGTAATTTAAGAAAATCTTCCTGCTATGGAATGAACTGCAGCCCCCACAATGCATAAGCCCTAACCTCCAATGTGGGGGTATTTAAAGAGGGGCCTTTGAGAGAGAATTATAATTAGAGGTCTTGAGAGTGGAACCCATGATGGGATTCGTATCCTTATAAAAAAAGATTCCAGAGAGCTTGCTAACTCTGTTCCCAAAACAGCAAGAAGGCGGCTGTCTACAAGCCAAGAGGGCGCTCGCAGAAACTGACGCTGTTGGCCCCGCTCTGGGGTCGTCTCGCCCCCGAGCTTCAGGACTTAAGCAAGCCGCCCTGTCCGTGGCATTTCTGACAGCAGCCCAAGCTGACTGAAATACTTCTACTTTTTAATTGAACATATCAATTGATTCTAGAATAGGTTTGACTTAGTTTATAGCTAGAAACTCTCTACTAATCTGAAAAAATAAAAGGAAAAAGGCATAAAATAAAAGCTACAGCATTATTATGAACCATTAAGACTCGCTGTATTATCAATATCTATACTGAGTATCACCATGAAACAGGAAGAGTGTGAAGGATGGAACAAAACAACGGCTTTCTCTCCGTGCCTCCCATAAAGCACAAGCTCAAAAAATATCTGATGACTGACCAGTTACAACTGAAAACTGAAAAATCAGTTGTACAGATTTCATTCCCAAAACACCACTACCATGGGGCAGATACCTGTTTATCATGTCAGATAAGACACAGTTCTTTAGAGAACATGCTTTCAAGTGACCAAAACTTGGTGATACTGCCCTCAGACTTTGAGAAAGGCTTTCTAAAATAACCCACCATTGATAAAATGATAGTTGCTACTAGACCAAATGGCCCGCCAGAAAAGGTTGAAATGAAGCTCCATCTCCAAGACACACGGCTAACGAAGCAGTCCAATGAATACAAGACTATGATGGATATACACACATATGCATTTTTAATGGAAACATTTAAACCCGAATCTTTAATAACAAAAACACACAGAACTTGGGCTAGTGAAGCTTATCACAAAATAAAACCAACCTCAAGGTCTTCAGAGAGGAGAGAGGCATGGGTTGCCTTCTGAGCCATTTCCTGGAACTGGAGCTGGGTCTTCTGCAGGGCTGTCTGGCATTCCATCTGATTCGATTCCAGCGTTTTTACCTTCTTTGTGAGTGACCTGATTATCTCAGTTCTTTTATGTAGTTCACCTGAGGGAAATTTCATTGGTAACTTATTTTGTGACCAGATCTGAAGCTTAAAATGCATTATTTTCCAACACATGGTTAAAAAGTAATTGTGCTCATTTGGTTCCAGTGTCATCCTGGTGCGCCAAGGTTGAGGGTTCGATCCCCGAAAAGGGCACATACAAGAATCAACCAAAGAATACATAAATAAGTGGAACAACTAATCGATGTTTCTCCCTCTCTCAAATCAATCAATAAAGTAAAAAAACACAAAACTTCCTAACGATTCACTCTTAACACTCCGCGTTAACTGGAGCTCGACCCAGCCATCTTTCTACATTTAAGTACTTAGTCCGTCCAACTTAAATTCACATTATGTTTGTGTGTTTGATTGTGGATGTTCAGTTTCCCAGCTTCACTGACACTAAACCCAGGACAGCAGGATCCGTGCTGGGATATTCCTTCTCTATCATTCCTGTGAGCCCTCAGTGTGCATAACGCATGTGGCTGGGTGCGCTTCTGACCTTCCAGTTTGCTACAACGCTCTTCCAAAGTCAGCACTTTCTGCCGGTCCTCTTCCCATGACAGAAGCTGTCTCTGATGGACTGCGACCATTTCATTGAGCTCTTTATCACGGTCTTTCAGTTCTCCAATGAGCAGCTGCAGCTCCTTCCGCTGCTTCTCGATCATGGAAATCTCAACTTCTGACCCGATGTTCTAATCACAGAAAGTGGTTTCACATCAAAATGAGACTAATCAATAGCATAAATCAGCCAAAGCGTATTTTCCAAATAATTATATCTTCTTTTGCTGCCAATTCAAGGCAGTTATGTTAATTAAGTTTTATTCACTGTTTATAACGTGTTATCAAAAACAAGTCCACACCTACTGTGTGCTGCCTCTATCATGTCATACCACACACCGCTCAGAAAGTGGGGCCGCTTGTAAAACCTCCATTGGCTAATTACAAATGAACCCATCTCTGCATTTTTCTTCCTTGCTGCCAACCCTCTCTCCTTGTACCAATCAACAATATTCATTATCCTTCGCCTTGTCCCAGCCTCTCCAGAGCAGTCAATCAAGGGGAAACATGAAATAATTACTGGTTAAACGTAAATAATTCTCACAATATCAAACACGTCAATTACAGTCAGTCTACCAAGAACAATTTAATATTGGGACTGGTCCAAACTCAATGAATGTACCTATTTTAAAAAACAAATTTTGTAAAGAAAAAATTTCAAACATACACAAAGATAGAGAACACCCAAACTCCCATATGCTCAGAACCCAGGACCTGCCATTATCAAGATTTTGCCACATCTGTTTCAATTAAATTTTTGTTGTTGTTGTTAATAAAAAATACATTTCACTCATACATACTTCAGTATGAATCCCTAAAAAGGAACATTTTTACATAACCATGATGCCACTTTCATACCTACCAAAATCATCTACAGTAATTTCCCCCCTTTTTTTTTCCAACTCTTTTTTCTTTATTGATTTTAGAGAGGAAGAGAGAAGTAGAGAGATGGAAACACCAATGAAAGAGAACATCGACTGGCCGCCTCCTGCATGTGTCCTGACCGGGAATCGAACTGGCCACCTCTTGGTGCAGGGTCGACGCTCAACTGCTGGGCCACACCGGCTGGGCTACAGTAATTCCCTTTTAAGCATACATCATTTTAAAGTGCGCAGGAAAGCCGGTCTGACCTAAGAGGGGATCCACAATTAGCCACTTGGTGACTATAACCTTGGGCCTTGACTGTCAGCCTTCGTTTCCTCCCCTGGAAAATGGTAATAACAGCACCGGGACTTCTCAGAGCTATGTGTGCGAATCACCCAAGCAAAGCGCGCCAAAGCACTTCACAGCATTTGGCACATCATAGGCACTCAACATACATCAGCTATTATTAAGACTGTAGCCCTGGCCGGTTTGGCTCAGCGGTTAGAGCGTCGGCCTGCGGTCTGGAGAGACCCGGGTTCGGTTCCCGCTAAGGGCATGTACTTCGGTTGCAGTTTGTCCCCGGCCCTGGTTGGTCGTGCGGGTGGCAGCCACTCGATGTGTCCCTTCACGTCGATGTTTCTCTCTCTCTCTCCCTTCCTCTCTCTCCCTCCCACTCTATCTGTACAAAAAATGGAAAAATATCCTCGGGTGAGGATAAAAAAAAAAAAAAAGACTGTAAGTTACACTTTGAAATATGGTACTGTCCCCATCAATGAAATAAAAAACTAAACGTGTTACTTTAAGAATTCTATCTTAGCCTGACCGGTGTGGCTCAGTGGCTGGGCGTCGACCCATGCACCAAGAGGTGGCCAGTTCGATTCCCGGTCAGAGCACATCCCCAGTGAAGGGCATGCAGGAGGCGGCCAATCGATGTTCTCTCTCATTGACGTTTCTGTCTCTCTCTCCCTCTCCCTTCTTCTCTAAGATCAATAAAGAAAAATATTTGGGGGAGGAAAAAAAAAAGAAAAAAAAAGAATTCTATCTTAAAGACGGGAGTGAAAAATTCACCAGAGGCCCATGTACATCATTCCTGCTTTCTGAAAATTACAACTTGTAAATAAACAATAACAACGCATGAATTACAGTGACTAGTAACTAAACACACACACACACAAATGGAATTTGGAGCCAAGGGATTGATTCCAAATCACAAGCGTTGAATTCTGGTCTTTGGGACGCCATCCGTTCATTCACTCATTTGTTCAGCACCTATGTGCCGAGCTCCAAGGGTCTGCGGACACAGCAAGGCGGGCCCTGGCCGGGAGCACACCTCCTAGTGTGCGAAAAAGTTCATCTCATCATATACTGATTCATGCACATCTTGAGCAAGTTCACTTTCAAGGCGGTTTTTGTTTTTTTGGTTTTTTGTTTTCTTTTCTTTTGGTAAAACGGAGTCATAAGGGTGCTGCCCTGGCAGGTTCCAGTGGAGTAAATCACGGACAGGGAGCGAGGTGGCCTACAAGCGCCCACCGTGACCACTAGGACGCGAGCCCCTGCGCCGGCTGGTGTGGCGCAGTGGGCCGGGCGGTGTCTCTGCACCCAAAGGTGCCGGGTTCGATTCCCGGGCAGGGCACATGCCAGCCCGGGCTCGAGGGTCTTGAGGGAGGCAGCCGGTCGATGTTTCTCTCCCTCTTCTCCCTCTAAAAACCAACAGAAACTGTGAAAATTGACGGTGAGCACCTGGTCCCTCCCTGGACCCAGCGCCGGGGCTGGATAACGGGTTTCTTTTGAGATAAGGACACAGGATGGGGCGCCGCGTTTTTCCTCGACGACCTGAGCAGTGTCAAATTCGAAGCAGAAATCGCGCCCTAAAAACCACCCACGTTCGGCCAAAAGGCACGCCGGGCCCGGGGCCTGCTTCCCTGCGGCGCCGGCGGCCGAGGCGAGCCCGCGGGCCGCTCACCTGGCGCCCGGCGAGGAAGACCGCCGAGGGGTTCATAGGTGTTTCCTCCGCCCCCGGAGAAACGTCGCTGTGCGCGGCGTCACCTTAGAAACGCCATAGGCGCGCCTGCCCGGAGCGGCGGGGGCGGGGGGCGAGCCCCGAGGCGCGGGGCCCCGCGCCCTGGCCCGCCCGAGCGCGCTCACCCAAACCGCCTGCCCGGCGGACCGCGCGCGCCGCGCCGGCCTATGGCGTCGCCAGGGACCCGCCCCCCGCTCTCGCGAGATCTCGGCAGCCGCGCGGGAAGCTGGCTCCCAGCCCACCACGTGCGGCGGGAGGGCACCGCTCTCGCGACGTTTCGTGCGTCCCAATCCGGACCTGGAGCACCGCGATGGCTTTTCTGAGCGTGTCCGATCCGTTCCTCCCAGTCCTCGAAACCGGTTAATGAATGAAGCAAGTGAAAGGCTGTTTCTGCCCCCATCACCCTCGGGCTATGGCACTGGAATTGCTCACCCATTTGCTTCTGCCCTAGGGAACTGGGCGCTGGTTTTTTGTTTTTTTATCATCCTCACCCGAGGACATTTTTCCATTCTTTGTTCAGATATTGCGGGAGGGAGAGAGAGGAACAGAGAGAGAAACATCAATGTGAAAGGGACACATCGAGTGGTCGCCACCCGCACGACCAACCAGGGCCGGGGACAAACTGAACCTGGGTCTCTCCGGACCACAGGCCGATGCTCTAACCGCTGAGCCAAACTAGCCAGGGCTGGGCGCTCGGTTTTGGTTAGCTGCTGTTTAATGCCGGGCATGCGGACAGGACCTGGCGTTCCAACGAATCGATGGATGGAAGCAGACAACAGCCCTGGGAGTTGATAGTTGCCGGCCAGCCCAGTGGACAGCTCTAACCTAAGACTCGCAGATAAAAAGAAAAATTGTTTGGACTCCATGTGGCTCTTGAATAGCGATGAGAATCTTGCAACTTGAGTGTGACACCATTGACCGCATTCTGGGTTAAACCTAAGCTTTTTTGTTTTTAATCCTCACTGGAGGACATTTTTGCACTTTAGAGCAGGAGGGAGAGAGGGGGGAGAGAGAGAGAGAAACATCAGAGACATCGAGTGGTTGCCATCCACATGACCCCAACAGGGCGGGGACAAACTGCAACCAAGGTAGGTGCCCTTAGCATAGCTGGAACGGAACCCAGGACTCTCTGGTCTGCAGGCCAGTGCTCTAACCGCTGAACCAAACTGGCCACGCTAAAACTAAACTTTTTTTAATTTTTTTTTATCCTCACCTGAGGACATTTTTTGACATTTTGTTCAGATAGAGTAGGAGGGAGAGAAAGAGAGAGAAAAACACCAATGTGAAAGGGACACATCGAGTGGTTGCCACCCGCACGACCCAACCAGGGCCGGGGACAAACTGCAACCGAGGTACGCGCCCCTAGCGGGAACCGAACCCGGGTCTCTCCAGACCGCAAGCCAAAGCTCCAACCGCTGAGCCAAACCGGCCAGGGCTAAACCTAAGCTTTTTAACGTGGTGTTTCATAGTCATCCTTTCTTCCCCCCTTTACTCTTAACATTATATAGGAACTGAACTAGGAAAAAAATATTCACATTTAACCCCTGGTCATTCACCCCCTACTGCTGAACCCATAAGATGGCATTACCTGCAAGGCAAGTTACCAAATACAGTCTTATAGTATTTCAACTTTACTTTTTGATTGACTATGAATTAGCAAAACATGCCATTGTGTTTATCACGTCTGAACATGGAAAATTAGAATTTCTTGCTTTCAAGCTTCACAGACTTGGGTGACACTTGCCTCCTTAGGATAGGCTTATGTTTAGGAGAACCAACAAGCCCAAGTTTTAGAACTTAAAATCAAGAGAGAAAATTCTGACAAGTTGTTAAAAAAACAGACTGTAGATGACTATGCAGTAAGTCTTGGTGGTGGAATGGGATGTAAAAAGGAATGTGGTTGAACGTCAGTTTTCCAGTTGAGGAACATTTTCATTCAAATGCTTTTCAAAGTTCACTTTTTTTTTTTTAATTTTAGGAAGCCCAAAAATGCCATTGTTCACCAGGCAACCACATGCCACTCACTGTAAAAAATACGAGTACAGATAAAATGAGATTCATCTTATGACATTAAGGTTCTAAGTATTAACTGAATATGGCGAGTATTATTGTGAGTAGTTGTAAATAAAAAAAAAAAAACTCAGTATTTTGAGTTTACTCCCACAGGTTTCCTTTAAAACAAAAAATCTTCATATAACTTTAAAACGACATAAAATGATGTTTTCTGAAAGCTGTAAGAATTATACTGCATCTGAGTTTACAGTCTAATTCAAACTGATGAGCTAAATGGACTCATTCCAGTCTCCCTACCTTATTTCCTAATTAATTTAGTAAATAACAAAGACAGGATCTAAAAGGTACAATTCATCTTCATTGGCTGGGTGGTTCAGTCAGATAGAGCATCCCATACACCAAAAGATTTCAAGTTCCCCATCAGGGCACATACCTAGGTTTTGATCCCTGGTTAAGAGGCAACTGATCAATGTTTCTCTTTACTGCCCCACCCCTTCCTTCTCTCTCTAAAAAAATAATAAAAAATAGCCCTGGCCAGTTTGGCTCAGTAGCTGGAGCTTCAGACAGTGGACCGAGGGGTTGCAGGTTCGATTACTGGTCAAGGGGACATACCTGGCTTGCAGCTTTGATCCCTGACTCAGGTGGGGGGTCGTGTGGGAAGCAATTAATCAGTGTGTTTCTCTCACATCAATATTTCTCTCTGTCTCTCCCTCTCCCTTCCACTCTGTCTAGAAAGCAATGGAAAAATGTCCTCTGGTGAGGATTAAAATAATAAAAGGTAGAATTTTAAAATAGTAATTTTTAACTACGAGTGAGAAAGTTACCATGGATTACAGCATAAGCAACAGCTGATTTACTAAGACTACACACCCCCTACTGGGTATCGAGACGGGGATTCGAACTGGCAACCTCCTAGTACATGGGATGATACCCAACCAACTAAACCACAGCAGCCAGAGCTATTAATACATTTTAATCAGAGATTAAACTATGTTGCATTTTAAATTCAGGTCAAAGAAAAAGATTCACACATGTTATACACAAGGACAATTTTAATCCTGCATTTTCCTGCAGTAACATCCACTGCTGGCTATATATGGATTGAAACTGCATTTGCCAAGAACTGTGAACATTAAGAATCTTTACATGAAGTCACATGTGTTGATACAGACACAGAGACATCTTCCAGCACCAACAGCATATATAACACATACCAACTGGTCTTGATGGATAAATTTGCTTCACCAGATAATCATCATATTTAGTAAAATTCACAGTTAATGCAGAATTTCTTTTTAATTTACATCTTTACTACACATTCTAAGATTTTAATTATTTTAAAAAACATTCATTCAAGATTGTAATTTGCATGGCAATAAACAATAGGTTCTAAATTTCTTAAAGGTGTCTATAGCAATTAAAATACCATGAGTCTTCTTTTCAATTTGTAGCACCTGACTTAAGACCTTTATAAAAACAAAGTTTAAATTCATTTAGTGCATTCATTAAAATTGTGTTTCTCTTGTGAGAAAAACATATTTCAATTGCTATTTCCCAGACAATATATTGAACATGGGTTTATAATATCTGCAACTGAATTGTACACTCATATAGCCAGAACAAGAACTCTCAGCCTCTGTGAAGGGCCTTCCACTCAAAACGATGATAATGTATAAAACAGATTTGGGGTCTGCCCCCTACTTAACATTATTAAACGTTTCCAAGCATTCTTGGAAAATATTTTAAAATATATGTGTAATATTCTACCATATGATGCACCATCATTTCTTTAATCATCTCTCAATTGTTCATTTATATTACTTGCGATTTTTTGATATTATGAGTAACATCGTGATGAACACAAGACTTGTATCTTTAGGATAATGTCAAAGAAGTGGCTTACTGGGTCAAACAGTGCAGATGGTTTTAAGGCTTTTAATATACTTTACCAAATAATATCCAGAATAGCCTGAACAACTCCTACCAACAATATGTTAATGGCCCCACAAAGCAGACTTGGTTGGTAACAATGAAGCCAATTCAATCACAAATCTATTAGGTGCTCAAGCATCTCAAAACTATCACACCAAAGAAGCAAGGAGAGAGTTATGACTGGGGATGAAGCCAAATTAAAATTCTTTAAAACATGACTCAGCTTTAAAAATCATGATTTGATTAAATCACGACCATTTGAAAAATAATCAACAAACTTTCCACAAAAAGTCTACAGTGTTTTTCCAAAAATAAGATGTTTAAAAGAGAGAAAGAGAAAAGTCAGTACCAAGTGACCAAAAATTTTTATTTGACTAAATTCTATTTCATGCATAAGCATGACAGTCTCCCCTGTTTATTAGACTTTGGCAATAAAAAAAAAACAAACAAGCAGCCTTGTACAGAACAGTGAAAATGCCGAGGGCGAGGGTAGTCTACAGTTTTACTGTAGGATAAATATGTATTTTTTCAAAAGGCCTCTCTCCCTTTGGCCGTATCAACTCTCAGTTCAGACCATTAAATACAGACAAACTTTTAAAATCACTTCTTCACTTCTCCAAGATCTTCGATGCTATCATCATCTACCTATAAAACACAAATTACATTTCATGAGTTGTGGTATCAAATAACATGGGAGCAACTTGCTTTAAAAATGTATTTCTACAGATGTGTATGGTCCACATACTCACCTCTGGCCATTTTTCCTGAATGACATCAATGATGTCGTCTGTAAAGTCTCCCTGAATGATGATCTCATCCTCCCCTGTCACTGAGGCACCACAGGAGAATTTTTGAGCAAAAAATCTTTGTGCTTCTTTAAGATCAATTTCTGTTATGTTAAAAAAAAGTAACAGCAAGAGTGTAATTAGAATTGTATGTCGAAGATATTTTTCCATTTTGAAATTTAATTTGATTTTTAAATTCATAAAACAGATAGTGTTAATGAGGTTCACATTCCTGTCAGAGCAGTAATTACTATCACAGGCAGTGGTCTTAATAATTCAAAAATCAAGGTAGAATAAAGCCTCAGTACATAAAAATCCCATCACCCATAATAGTCGTAACTCGCACAGTAAGACCAAAATAAATCCAGGAACGCATTCATTCCATTCCATATACACTTCTGAATACAACGAAGTTCTTTTGCTTATCCCTTTTCTTTTCCTTTGTATCTCTTTTCACAAAAAGATAATTTACAGCAGAGAAACAAACCTAGTATTTATAATGTGGTCCAGTGATTGTTTTTCAATCTGTGTTGTCATGTGAAGGAACCTTAGTTTGCAATTTCACCTCCATTTCACACTTTGTTCAACGCCTTCAAGCAGGACCTCCCGCCACCACCACTTCCCCCACCCTCTGACTGCCACTCCCCAGGGGACAAGCCACCTGCAACCCTCTGCCACCAAGCCTGCAGGGCCAGAGGAGCAGCACTGGTGGGCTTCACAGGGAACCCTATTTTGTCCTCCTAAAATAAAATGTGCCCAAGCAGGAATTCTGGAAAGGAAAAGTTAAACCAGTTCCCTCTGCGGAAAACATTAAAATTTCTTCAAAATCTGATTTTGAAGCTACAGTAAGAAATGCAGAATCTTATTCTGTATCTTCTTAGCAAAAATAGACCCATGGAATTTCTTTGATTCCAGATTTTTAAAAGGGGGGGTATCTATATACCATACACGCCGCGTGCACACACGCGCGCGCGCGCACACACACACATTTTAAATATACTTAAGATTAAACTCACCGAAAGTTGCAAGGCCACACACTCTTGTCACATATTTCTTCTTTGCTCTGGGAATTTTGGCTATCGTAACCTTTTGTGGTACAGTCTTCTTTTTTTGTTTTATTTGACCCCTTCCACCTTTATTTATTAAGAAAGAGCTCAGCATTAATTGTTTCACTGTTAACTTAATTAGAGACTACGGTCTTACATTTGTTAATTTTCAAAAGATACCAAATTTTATTTCTGAAGTTTCTTTTCTAATACAAAATTAATGAACACATGCATGAGTATCATTCAATCAATATTTAAGCAACATGTGCCAAGCACTGGACTAAGGACACAAAACAAACAGAGCATAGTCCCTGCCCCTCCAAGGATTCTAGTCTAGTGAAGTGAGACAAAAAAAAGTTAAAATGGTCACAGCCACCTGCCAGATACTGTAATTGGACCCCTGGACACGGCACCACCAAGCCCTGGAGAGGAATGGCTTTGTCTACTTCCATGCCTCGGCTGCAGTTCATCCCCAGCCCGTTGGGGGTTGTGTGGGTGGCAACCAGTCTATGTGTCTGTCACATCGATGTCTCTCTCCTTTCCCCTCTCTCTCCCTTCCTCCCTCCCACTCTATCTGAAGATAAACACAAAAATGTCCTCAGGTGAGGATTAAAAAAAAATAATGCAAAGTCTTGAAACTATTTATAGGTTAATTTTAGTCATGGGGGGAATAATTAAGGAAGAAGAAAAAGGTGGCGACAGGATCCAAAGCATAAGGAATTAATCTTAGGAGGAGAGACAGGTAAATGTAACATCATTAAAAATAAAAATTCTGCCAGTGTGGCTCAGTGGATTGAGTGTGGTCACATGGACTGAGAGGTTCTGGTTCGATTCCCAGTCAAGGCACATGCCCCAGGTTTTGGGCTGGATCCCCAGTAGGGGGAGTGCAGGAGGCAGCCAATCAATGTTTCTCCCATCAATGTTTCTACCTCTTTCTTCATCTCTCTCTTAAAAAAATCAATAAAAACATTTAAAAAATAAAAATTCAACTGAGCTGTCAAAGTAACAAGAAAAATTTTATTTAAGTGTCCTCACTTTAATTAAATACAACACACAGGTATTTTAATAAGACAACAAAGTTTTCAAATCAAGTTGGCTAGTTGCTTTTATGTATATATACAGCAAATGAAGCATGTTTTCTTAGTTCTAATCATACCATATCCAACCCCCCTTAAAACATGATTCTGTATTCCTCTGAGTGATATTCATGAATTACAGTAACAGACAGGTGCTATTCATGTTGGAAATGCTCTCCATTACTGATTTCTTCTGGCAGAGGGAAGGTAGGTTTGTGTCCACTAAATCATAGAGTTAGATCTCACCTCTCTTTTGTTTTTTCTTCTCTTCTTCTTCCCCTGCTGTTCCTTGACCCTCACTAATCCCAGATTCTTGTTTGGGTGAATTTTCTAGATATAAAAACAAAATTCAAAAGCATTAACATCACTTTCTACTAACGTGAAATAAACTACCTTTGCCCCGACTGGTTTTCTCAGTGGTTAGAGCATCGACCTGTGGAATAATGGGTCTTCGGTTCAATTCCTGGTCAAGGACACATGTACCTGGGTTGCAGATCCAATAATCCTTGGCCTGGTCGAGGTCATGTGGGAGGGAAGCAACCAATCAATGTGTGTGTCTTTCTCCCTCCCTCCTAATCTATATAAGATCAATGGGAAAAAAATATCCTTAGGTGAGGATTAACAAAAAAAAACAACAACAGCCCAGCTGGTGTGGCTCAGTGGCTGAGTGTCAACCCATGCACCAAGAAGTTGCCAGTTTGATTCCTGGTCAGGGCACATGCCCAGGTTGTGGGCCAGATCCCCAATGAGGGGCATGAAGGAGGTGACTAATAGATGTTTTCTCTCACTGATGTTTCTATTTCTCTCTCCCAGTCTCTCTAAAATCAATAAAGAAAAAAAATTTTTTTTAATCATCTTTGGCCCTGGCCGGTTTGGCTCAGCGGTTAGAGTGTTGGCCCACGGACCAGAGAGGCCTGGGTTCGGTTCCCACTAAGGGCATATACATCGGTTGCAGTTTGTCCCCGGCCCCTGTTGGGGTTGTGTGGGTGGCAACCACTCGATGTGTCTCAGACACATCGATGTTTCTCTCTCTTCCTCTCTCCCTCTCGCTCTATCTGAAGATAAATCCTCGGGTAAGGATAAGAAAAAAAATTAAAAAAAAAAAAAATCCCCCTTTTCCTGGCCAGTTTAGCTCAGAGGTTAGAGCGTCAGCCCGAGGACCAATGAGTCTCAGGTCCAATTCCGGTCAAGGGCATGTACCTTGGTTGCAGTTCGTCCCCAGCCCTGGTCAGGGTTGTGCAGGAGGCAACCACTTGGTGGGTCTCTCTCACATCAGTGTTTCTCTCTCTCCCCCACTCTATCTGAAGATAAATAGAAAAATATCCTTGGGCGATGATTAAAAAAAAATCACCTTTGAGCAACCCCATACATGAGTAAGTAATTTTACCAACAATTGAGTGTGACATTTACAAAACCAATGATTATATCGCTAGATTGCTATCAAATCTAATTCTGAAATCCTTATGGTAACAGAAGACAAAACAAAGGCTTTGAAAGGTGATTATAATTTTTTAGCCTCATGGAAGGAGCATAAAACACTCAAGACTACAGGAGTGCACAGCATCTAAACATACTAATCTGTTAACAGGAAGTCTGGTCCCAAATAAGAAGACCTTCCCTGCCCCCTCCCCAAGTCACATCATGTCCCAGGCAGGTCATGCTCAGGGCCAACCAGGCAGACTGACTGCAACACCAGACTCGAGGGTTCTCATCCAACCACTGACAGTGACTGTGCAGCTGCTACCCAACAAGGCCTCATCAAGTTTCTAGGGCTGTGCCTCATGGAAACCATCTGAAAACCAAAGCAGCAAATAGTGGGATAACACTGGGTAGGTACCGGATAGGCCTGGTCCCAGCCCAGGCTTGCCCTTCTTCCTGCTACTGCCTTCATTTTTACCGTCTCAGTGGAGGAAACCTGCTCTCCACACCCTTCCTTACCAGAGCAACTCCATTCTAGTTGCTTGGGCCAAAACCCTACGTGGCCCTTTTTCTCACACCCCACATGCAATGCATCAGAAAACCTTGTCAGCTCTACTTTCAAAATATATCCAGAATCTGACCACTCTTCACCGCCGCCCCCCCACCGCCCCCACCCCCACCCTGGCTACCATTCCAGGTCCAGATCGTCATCAAATCCTGAACGGATTACTATAGGAGCCTCCTCTCTGGTCTCCCTGTTTTGCTGCCTCTGCCCCTCTTCAGTCTATAAACAGCAGCCAAAGAGATGCTGAAACAAAGTCACACCTTTTCTCTCCTCCACTCAACCCCTCCAGTAAGTTCCTTGTCTCACTCACAGTAAAAGCCAAGACTTGGTCTTTAAGATGTGGTCCTCCATTATTTCTCGGACTCCATCCCTTACTCTTCTCCCCCTCCTCCAATAAGCTCAAGACACAAAGGCCTCCTTGCTGTTTCCTGAATATGCTGGTAAACTCTTGCCTCAGGGTCTTTGCACTGGCTGCATCAGCTGCCTGGGGTGCTCTTCTCCCAGGTGTCGAAGACTCCCTTCCTCACTTTCCTTCAGATCTATGTTCAAATGCCATATGCCATATTTTCAGTAAAATCTTTCCAGCCACTACTTAATATTTCAAATTCCCTCCCCATTCTTATCTCTCCATTCCCTGCTTATCACTATTTAACGTAATTATGCTGTTTGTCTTATTTTACTTATTTTGTTTGTCTTCCCTTCTAGAATATAATTTCCAAACACATCTTTTTTTGTTTAATCCTTACCCGAGGGTATTTTTTCCATTGATTTTTAGATAGAATGGAAGGGAGAAAGGGAGAAAGAAAAAGGGTGAGGGAGGAAAGGAGAGGGCAAGAGAGAGAGAAAGAGAGAGAGAGACATCAACGTGAAGAGAGACACATCAATTGGTTGCCTCCCGCATGACCCCAACCAAGGCGGGGGAATCAAACCTGCAACCTAGGCATATGCCCTTGACCAGGAATCAAACTGTCAACCCTTCTGTCTACGGCCTGATGCTGTAACCAATGAGCCAACCAGCCAGGGCCAAACACATCTTTTGTTTACTGCTTTATCCTCAGCATCTGAAACAGGGTATAGCATACAGTACAAGCTCACAAGAAATAATCTGTTAAATGACTGAGTGAAAATATATTTGCCCCTAAATCGTTTATTCTTCTTTATATTAAAAGAGGTGGTACTTTGACATACCTCGTCTCAGAGAGAGAAGATACACAAAGCAGTGTGTAATTTTACATAAGGAATTTTAACCCAAGAACTTAAAATAGTTTCTAAGTTCATAGATATAGATTATAAATCTGTAATTATCCTACTAAAGGAAGACTTCTGTATCTTTAAAATAATGCCTTATGTGCATTTGTTTGGGGTATAAAAGCTTTGATGAAAGAAAAAAAAGTTCATACCTACTGTAAGTTTTGCAAACTCATTTGGAAAATTCTTCTCTAACCACTGTCTACATTTAGCAACATCAGGCATATATTCACAGTACTGGAGGGAAAAAGAACAAACTGAGTTACAACAAAACATTTTCAATCAACCAGTACATTTTAATTCAAAATCATCCCCTGTTCTTGCTACATAGAGAATGATAAAACTAACTACTCCCACCTGCCATCTTCTCCACAGGAAATCTGTATTCAACCAGGAAACGCCCCATAAGAAATTAGAAATTAAAAATTAAAAGAAATTAGGCACTTCCTCACTGTAGTAATTTATTTCTTCTTCTCCATCAAACAGAAGGGCCATTAGAAAAGGAACAAACAGACAAAAGCAAGCATGTTTACTTCTTGCTCTGGGCACAAGGGTGTCTCATTATTTTCATGGCCTGCCCACAAAGCCTGACTTAGAAGCTTATTAACAGAAGTCTTACACATAATGCATGCTTTCCTCTGCTTGGATGTTAAATTTTGGCTCTAAGGCTACTCTTGTCTTATTAGCTAACTGACCACTCATGTGTTCCATGCAAAAATCCAAACTACATAGCCAAGTGCAAATATACACACATGGCTCAAAATCTAAAGACAATTTGTAATATCATAAAATTATTCTAAACCAAATTTCTCTACAAAAAGGGTGAAAACCCATTAAATGACAGAAAATGAAAAATAAAAAAATAAGTTCTCAAGACAGCTGTAAAATCAATGACCTCAAATTCAGAATTTAAAGAATTTTAAAAGAACTTACCTCTGTTGGTAATGAACAGACTGGGGAGATGGAGAGAAAAAAAGAGATTTAAAAATATAAATACACACACACACAGCACTCATCACAACTTTTATTTTAAATCTGACAAACTGTCTCATTTCTTTTTCCTATATTTTTTCTGAACTGCTTTTCAAATGCTACCCATCATGTTTTTTTTGTTTTTTTTTTTGAGGCAAAAGGCACATGGTTAATAGAAATATTATCCTGAGCTTTTTGATCTAAAGAAGACTGTCTCCTTGATGGAATACCCAACTATACTACCTTGCTTATCTTAAAGTGTTACCATAACCACTTCGGTGGGTCTGAAAGTGAGCGAAGATAGGAACAGTTCCCCATACAACACTGGGATGGGGCTGGTTATTTCTTTTGATAGCTTTATCACAACAGCCACGACTTTTTATTCACACTAACACATTTATAAACTTCAGTAGCACTTTGCTCCCATTTCTTTGCAACATACTTTTCCTTTTCCTTTTCCTATTGTAACATAAGATCAAGAGCCTGTAAAGCTAGAAGGAATACTGGTTCAGTCTTGTCATGGTATAGCCTGCACGGGCTAAGGGACTAGAGAATGCAATTGGGAAAGTTTCCCAATTTTAACTTTAATTCTATTACGGGGTCAATTGCTTATTTTGTTTTTATTTTTAAAGTGAAGATGGAGTAGTTCAAGGTGCCCAACATCTTGAGGTTTGGGAGGGCGAGGAGTGGTACACCCTTACTGACAAGGGCAATCGCGCTTATTATGCATCAGGCACTGTGCTGTGCTTTTTTTTTTATCCTCACCCAAATACATTTTTTTTTCATTTATCTTTAGATAGAGCAGGAGGGAAGGGAGAGAGAGAGAGCGAGAAAGTGAGAGAGACACATCAACTGGCCACCACCCACACAGCACCAACCAGAGCCGGGGACAAACTGCAACCGAGGTACGTGCTCTTAGTGGGAACACAACCTGGGTCTCTCTGAACTGCGGGCCTACGCTCTAACTGCTCAGCCAATCCGGCCAGGGCACTTTGCTGTGCTTTTTATCCATGGTTATGTTTAGTTGTCACAAGCCTACAAGCTAGGAATTACCATATCTGTCAGATACAGATGAAGAAAATAAGACAGAATAAGAAACCCACTTGCCTCTGGTTAGTAGGACGAGATTTGAACCCTGGTCTGTTTCTGACACTCATGCCCTCGACCACTAAATTTTAGATTATACTATGTACACAGGCAGCAGCTGCATGCCAGCCAGATGACCATGATCCGCCTTCTCACCCCATCATCACCATTTTATAGATGAAGCTCCAATAAAAAAAGTTAAATAGTTCATACAATGACAACGGTGGTATGTGGCAGAAAACTGGAATCTAGCATCTCTTTATTTCAAGTTTACTAACGCTCTCCCTGGTTAACCAAAGCTCTATAACCCTCACAGTTCAAATTCAAATACTAGTAGGTACAGATATTCAGCCACACTTTCAGTATATAACTCCAGGTTAAATACCATTACAGCAAATACTAATGCCATAAAACTTAGTATGCCATTTCAACTAACATCTGGTTCAGCAAAATTCCAATACAATGAAGAAATTTACACAATTCTTCTGAGTTCACCGTTATTTGCTTTTAAAATCAATTTCCCTCCACAGACCACTTACTATTTGTAAACTAGCTTTTCAAAGCAAGGATCTCGCAGTCACCTTCAAACTTCACACCACCAAGTGAAACAACCTGACGTTATATAGGGATGATCTTATAATTATGCTACATCAACCTGACCATTTTTCACCTAAAATAATGGTACATCTTACAAAATATGGAGTCTCAGATTTGATGAAACAGGATACAAAGAACAGCTCTTAACTACACTAGCGTAGTTTTCTAGTAATAGTAATAATAATAGCACTTATTGTATTACGTTCTTGTGTTAGTTGCTGTCCCAGGAACTTTATACGAACCATCTGACTTAAGAAGCAACCATCACCTTCATTTTACAGACCTTAAGAAATAAACCTCTAGCCCTTAGTAAAGTTAGGTAAATTGCCCGAAGTCATGTAGCTGGTAATGCCGGAGTCAGGATGCAAACCCTGGGCTGTGACTCCAAAGGCAAACACTATAACCAAATAAAACCACTATCATAACAAAACTCAATCAACCCTACAAAAAGATCCCCTGCCTACTCTCTTACTGAGATGTTTTATACTGATTTTAATTTACTATCAAACACATTCAATAAAAGATGAGTTGATGCAATTTCTTAGCTCAGTGACTTCGACTTCTCCTACAGTACCTGAACGCCAGGTGAGTCTCTATTGCACTCACAGAACATAAGGTCCACAAGAACAAGGATCTTTTCTGACTTACTCCCTACAGACACCCCAGGACCTCAAACATTGCTAGGCACAGAATAACTGGTCAAAAACACATACTTAAAAAAAATTATATATACTCGCCCTTTTACTGTTTTGTGTCTTCAAAGTTTTCCGGAACTTTCCAAGATGCTAATAAAATTGGAGCATTTCCAATACACAAATATTTCTGTATTGAAAATGAGGAAAAATATTCAAAGGGGGGGGGTCCGGACCCAAGCTAATACATATATTTTTAATCAAGCCGAGACCACTTTCCCAAGCCTGTTCTACTACACAGGTCACTGAAACCTCATCATCTTCCGCTCCTGACGCCTGCCCAGTACTGGGCTCTCCAGTAACACAAAGCTGCTCCTGCCTCCCCACGGGCATCAGGCTTTTTCTTCCCTGCTCCCTTGTCACTCCTCAACACCCAGCATCTCCCAGGGAGCCCCCCTTTATCGCCAAGCTAGACAGTTCCCTTGGGCTGAAATCATCTATTCACATGTCTATTACAGGTGGAAAGTGAACTTCTCCGGCCAGGGAGCAAGACACAAGTCAGGAAACCGTGTTCACCCGTGCCTCCTCTTCCCCCACCTCCCTTCCCCAATTAAGGATTCACCCAGTGACAAAGACAGATGAAAAAGGATGACGAGGACCAAAGGTGAGGTGAGCACCACAAAGCATACACACGCGGTAAGTTAAAACAAACAAAAACAAAAAACCCCTTTCTGCCCTGCCCCGCTTGCCTCCACAGTAAAGGACTCGGAGTGGGTAATCTGCATCTAGCTTGGTATTGCTTCTGGGGTCTCCTCTGCAATCATGCCCCCCGGATTCAGAAATGTCAGCAGCCATCTCACAAACCTACAAGCAAATGAAACAAACGCCTGTTCACCATTCTGGACCAAGACTCCAGAGCAGCAGTGTTGGGGTGCCGTCTCGCCTCCTTCCCCACCAGCAGTCGCCCTCCCACCCCAAACCGGTTTCATCTCTCCGTGGTCAGGCGAAGGAGACACGCTGCCATGGGGGGTTCACCAACTCAATGAGCAATCCCGGGCACACACCGTCGATCAGGTCTACGGGGCAGCAAGTGAACGGGGTGGGGGCGGAGGGCACGAGGAAAAGAGGAAATAATGGGGGACCGGGTGGGGAGGGTAACTTCGGCAGGGACAGGGCAAAAGGTCTGGGGTGACATGGATAGGAAGGATGCAAACTGCCGCAATTAAAGGCCAGGAAGCCGGTGGAAGGAAAGAACCTGCGAAGACGGGGTGGGTCACGCAGAGGTGCCCAGAGGGCAGGTGTGGGGGCAGCTCAAAGCCCCGGGAGCCAGGAAAGGGGATGGAGTGGGAGAGGGCGGCGAGACCCGTGTCTCGGGAGGGAATACGGCGGGAGAGCCGGAAAGGGGCAGAAAGTACGGGCTCCGCGGTGACAAGGGCGGCCCACGTGTGAGCGGGGAGACGTGAAGCGGAGGGGCAATCCCGGGGACACCTGGGGGGCCCATGTGGGCGGGGATGTGGAGACGCCCGGCCCGGCCCCCTTCCGCCGGGCAGCACCTCCGCTTCCCCCACGCTGTCTACACGAGTTTCTCCGAAGTGGGAAAATCCCGAGGGGTCGTTTACCCAGGCGGTCGCACAGCCGCCGACGCCTCCACTCCCGCCACTACCGCCGGCTGAAGCGACACATGCAACTCTTCGTGTCTGGCCAGGGCCACCCGAGAGCCCGTCTGCCGGCGAGGTCCCGCGAGACAATGAGCCTTTATCGCGAGATTCAGGCGGCCGCTGGGTGGCTGTCGCGAGAAGCCAGAAAGGCGGAGAGGACCTGGGGAGCATGCGCGCTCCGTCCGGGGGCGGGGCCAGGCCGCCGAGAGTCGCCTAACCAGCAGGCGGTGCTCATCGCCCGGAGAAGAGGTCGCGTGGCTGGAGCGCGCGAGGGGAGGCTGGTTGGAAACGCGGAAATGTCCGTGGAAACCCGCAGTGCCTCCCTGTGAAGCAGCCAGGGAGCTTCGCCCCGCAGTCTGGGGTGCATCCTGGAAACCTGACTCCCCTCGAGGCTGCTGGATAAGTCAGTCCGCCGCGGGGAGCTTGCAGCTGGGGAAAGCGCCTGGTGTCGTTCCAGCCCGGTTCCGACATTGGCAGAATTGTTCTTGAAAAGATCACGCCAGCGCTGTCGACGTTTTTCTCGTCGCCCACGATCCCACCACTCTCGCGACCTTTGACATCGCCTCCCGCGTGTTTACCTCTCCTTGCGTGGGTTGCAGACTGGAGTTCATCGCGTCTCAGGCTTCCCCCCAGGAAGCGGAAGCCTGGTGGGCCGCACCACGCTCGGATGTCTTCGCTTTGCTCCTGGGTTCCATTCGTGATGTGGGACTAACCCTGCAACACTTGCAGAGCTGTGAAGATTAGGGGAGGATTAGGACCAAAATGTGCTTTGTAGAGGGTTTGAGGGGGTTATTTTCGGTTTTTGCTTTATCCTCAACCTCCTTTCCTTCCCTCCTTGGCCACTTCATTCGCCACCAGCACCACCACCCTTAAATTGTCCGCTCAGAACTTACTTGGTGTGTTCATGAAGCCATCTGGCATAATTCTTTCCGCCAGAGACCGTGGCCTCCACTCCGACGTCTTTCTCTAATGAAAGAGGAGTTCCCCCCCTCACAAAAGAGTCAGTTTTACATGACATCAATGAAAGAAGATCTTGTTCCCAAGCATGTTTGATTCCAATGATAATAGCTTCCATTTGTGGACATCCACCTTCCACTCTGTGCCAAGAACCTACTCTTTAGGGGACACAGAGTCCAGGGGGATTCATTCCACAAAACTTTCTCGCGTTCCCGCAATGCTCCAGGGATACAGTGAACAAAAGCAAAGTCTCTACTCTCATTAAACAGCCTTAGACATGTTAGCTGATTTAATCCTTATAAAAACCCCATTAGGTATCTAATTTCCAGATGGTAAAATTGAAGCCCAAAGGTGGAGATTGATTAAGCTCACAATTTAACATCTCTCATAACAATGGGTGGCATCTGAGCACTGTGTCATCATTTGGCAGCATTTTTCTTTCTTAGTGCACAAAATAAGAGTGCACCTTACAATCAGTGTGATTTTAGATGCGATGAAATAGGGAGACATGGCCAGGCCTGCATAGTAGACCCAATGCCTTTTCCTGCTCTGATTTGTAGGGAAGGAGTTGCTGACCCATGTAGACTTCCTTGTTCCCAAGCTTCCAGCTGGGTTCCCCTAATGGGAGGCAGCCAAGGAGCAGCCTCCTTTCCATCCTCCCCACCCCACCTTGGGCAGCATGTCTGGCAGCCCCTGGTTCTCTCTCTGCGTTGGTTCTGGGCTCCGTAACAGCCTCCTCCCTGGATCTGGTCTATAACCTAGGGGTGGTGATGGCTTCCTGCTGCTGCTCATCTCTGAGTTGCCTCAACCACCTCTGTTTAGCTTTCCAACAGTTCCCATTCCCGATGCAACCAATTCCCTGAATGAAATTCTCCTCTGCTTCACATGCTTAGATGGGTTCTGTTTTCTGGGTTGGCTCTGCCTGACACCGCTGGCACCCAAACCCGAATTCGCATTTCCAGCGCCCGCCGCAGCCGGTCAGCTTTCGGTCAGCTTTCGGGTACTGAAAGGAGGAGCAGTGTATTAAAGAAGCTTCACAGTGGTTTCTCACCAGGAAGCTGCAGACTTCAAGAGGCAGCGGAACTGTTGCAAAGGATATGGAATCCACTTGTGCACCAAGCCTTGTCAGAAAATGGTTCAGACTTCAGTATTACTACTTTCTAGCGTAAGTCACAGTTTTGTTGCAATGAACGTCCCAAAGTTGGGGCTGATTGGCCTGGCTCCAGTCCTGTCCGTCTCTAAGTCAGTTACTACCACTAGACAAACCTGAGTCGAGTGTCCACCTTTGGAACTGGGATTGGAGAGTGGGGATAAGGAAAATTGAGGCAGTATGACCAGAAGAGGAAGTGATGCTGATGTATCAAAAACAACAAGTGTCCACTACAGCCATCCTCATACTCACATGTGCTAAAAAACAGTACATAATCGAGTGCTCTTAACACATCAAGTGGGTGTACAGGACAGGCAATCTTCCTTACCAACAGAATCCCATGTCACTTGAGATAGCAGGTGTCCAGCTAAAGTTACTGAACTTCCCAACACCCCTTGCAGCAAAGGTAGCTAAGTGACACAGTTCTGATCAATGAGATCCAGACAGATGTGGAGGAGAGCATCCCTTCTGTCGGGAAACATCAGGAAAGGTTTTTAAGTGGACAAGAAAGAATACTGGGCGTCCTGGCTAGCATTCTCTTGGGTGTCATCTCCATCTTTCATGGTCTTTGAGCTATTCTACAATTTTGTAAGTTGTAGACATGGGTTGATTGTAATGCAACCGGCTCTTGTCCATAGAAATGCAAGTAGGTGTGTCTGGTGGAGCCACGCTTCTCCTTGGAATTGGTTTCAGCATCTTATTGAGTCCCTTGTGAATTATACAGTGAAGTGATCTTGGACGTGTCTATTTTATAATTGGATAAGAGGCATGCTTTCATTCTTTTAAACACTTCTCACATACAAAGGCAAAGCTTCACATTAAAAAGAAGCCTTGGCCTGTCTAACTGCTTTCTGACTAGATCATGAACATAGCCAGGAGGTAGTACCACAGCCATCTTGTAACGGGAGAGGCTAACCTGAGATAAAGGTACATTGCTAATGACTATGGACAGAAACGTGTAAATAGCCCATGTCCCTGAGAGCATTGTGGAGTCCCCATATCAGCTCCTGACTGTTTGCTTCTGGGGCTTCCTATTGTGACACACACACACCTGCCATCTGGTTAAATTAACCGAAATTAACTGCGGTAGCGGTTCCTATTATACTATAGAATGTATTCTTTTTTTAAATTCTCACCCAAGGATATTTTTCCATTTATTTTCAGATTGAGTGGGAGGGAGGCAGGGAAGGAGGGGGGGGGAGAGAGAAATATTGATGTGAGAGAGACACATTGATTGATTGCCTCCCGCATGACCTCAAGCAGGGCCGGGGATGAAACTGCAACCAAGGTATGTCCCCTTGACCGTAATCAAACCCAAGACTCTTTGGTCCGAGGGCTGATGCTCTAACTGCTGAGCCAGGGCCAGAATGCATTCTTTAATGATACTTCCAGAATCAGATATTTCCTTTAAGATGAGAGTGAAACATGTGGTCAAGCAGAGCATGCCTAGAAGGGAACAAAGACCAGGCCTGCTGAAGGATGAGGGGGAAGTAAAGTTGCAACACCCGTCGTTCAGGGGAAGTGGCGCTCGTTCACTTTCTGAGAAGCCTCCTACGAAAGAAAACCATTTTCCCTGGCTCCTTGAATTAGCAGTGACTCATTAGCACATGTGCCACCTTGTCATAGCATTATTTTCTTAAGAATTATGGGGTTGGTTTCTTTTTCCACTCTTGGGGATGGATTTGCCCTTAGCCGGACATTTTCTTTCACCTGGCCCTTTCTGGACATTTTCAAGATGGTCACTTGGAGTGGAGTGGATATTTGTGGATTGCCTTTCTAGCATCCATTCCCTGTAACAGGTCCATTTGGATTTGGAAGGGTTCATCTCTCCCCCATACTTGTTGTGTTCCGATTGGGCCTTCATCATCCCTGGTCCAGAGGTGAACCATGTGATCCAGGTCTAAGGCAGTCAGCACGTGGTGTCATGATAAGAGTGATGAACTGATTCAAGCATAGATCAACCAGAGTAAACCCCAGCACACTTTGACAGAGCTTCTAGAAAAGAGGCTCTTTCCTATTGGGTTTGAGTCTCAGAGGATGCTGGCAGCCACTTTGCCACCATGAGGCCTGAGACTAAAGCCTGGATGAAGGAGGGCAGAGCTGGGAGATGGAGAACGTTGGACCTCTGGTTCCAGCACATCTGAGGTCAGCTCTAATCCTGGACCTTTCAATGATAAAAGTCAACAAATTCCCATTTTCATTTAAGCCAGTTCTAATTGGAGCACCCCTTTCAAATTAGTCCTGATGGACACAAGGGGTTAAGGTTGGGGCAGCCCTTACAGAGGTTTATTAAGTCCTGTTCTAGCCCAGTGTTTGCCAACATGTTTCCCCATTATGACATACACAATGGCTCTTATGCCCTTGCAGAGCACAATCTCAGAAACAAACCTACAGTTTGATGAAACCCCCAAATGACTGCAAAGATGTAAAATATAATAATTTATACTTTTCACAACTAATTCCAATATATATGTAAGGCAGGTTGTCATGGACGGTGGCAGAGTAAATGGCTGTCATTTCATTCATTTCTCTCCTACTCAAGAAGGCATTTCAGAAGACATCGCAGGGCTAACCTTCAATCTGTCTCAGTTGTTTACATAAATAACATTTCAAATTCCAGTATGTTCATATTAGCAATAAGTTACCGGACACATGCCATACCTAAGGCTGAAAGCAACACACCAGTGGAGGGAGACACCCATGAATGACGACTGCCAAGTGAATTGGGCTCGATTTATCCCAAGCTACCTGAGCTACCTGCAAAATGCATACATCTATTTACTAGTTCTGGTCTACATCAAAAACGTGTATTGTTTTTCCGAGAAGGGAGCTTTGTCACTTTTCTCTCTTGAAAGGATGGACAGTCTTCAAGAATCACTTTTTTTTTTTTTTCCTCACCCGAGGACATTTTTCCATTTTTTGTTCAGGTAGAGTGGGAGGGAGAGAGAGGAAGGAGAGAGAGAGAGAAACATCGA